GGAGCAGCTCCGCCACCACCGTTCTGTCGCTCCTTCCGTGGTGTTGGTGTCACACCCGACAACACTGGACTTCATGATTACAAACTCACTTTCTACAGTAGTCGACTCGCTATGATCAGCAGATTTCGAGCTCTCCTTGGAGTCGTCCAATTCGTTTCTGGTATTTAGCGACGGTCGCTTAGGACCTCTAAATGGCACCCGGTGCAACCAAGCTCCATAATCACGTCGTGGCCTTTGTATTCCTAACGGCGAATTGTTTCCGTGGTGGATTTCTTGTCCTTGTAGCCAAGTGTCTGCTGAATCTGCAGTCCATCCATTAGCACTCTTTACGATACCAAGATAATCCTTGGAAGATTAGCTGACGAGCCGCTTCAATGGAGAAGAAAATTGATCACTTGGCTAGGCCCTGTCTGTGGAATGACAGCCGACGACAGCCGGACAGCACCGAGCTGGAACTGCCCCAAGACCCTGGTCAGCCACGAGAGCTTAGTTGACGCCACCACCATTTAGATCGATCTATACGGAGTGAAACTCCCTGCTTCTTGGACGATTCCCGGCTCAACTTCTTCGATTACCTACACTTTAACCCCCGGTCCCCAACATAATGCACCCTGAATAACTCGGTATGCAATTCAGTCCGTGCCGATCAGCAAACAGTTTCCACCAGATTCCACCCTAGTCCCCCACCGCCAGTCATATTATGAATGGGCGAATTATGGCACTAACACTATTGAAAGAGCGGTCCCCTCCTAGCACCTTGCTTCACATGCTTCCCCTTTTTAGCGGGCGTGGACCTGCAAAAATACTAAAGATTTTTTGTCCTTCCGGAATTAACACCTTATTGGCCGATAGTCGTTTCTTTTGTTTCCTTTACACTATGTTTCTAGGTTCTCATGTTGACATTTACTACGTACCTTTTCTGGAATAGGATAGATAGGCTTAATAAAAAGCAGTATATAGTACAATTCTTACCAGAAAACGTGGGTTGTCGGCTGATTTAAGGACGCTCTAAATTCTGTGTCCTATAGGTTATAAACGGCCATCAATTGATTAATGGGCCCCACCAAATTTTTATTATTCCTATTTTCACTATAGTGCTACTACTAGCGTAGCCTATTTCCTTTATTTTGACACTCTTTATACCGTTTTATAGTTCTTTATTGCTTACTATAGCGTACGGGGTCTACTATGGGCGAGCCGTTGCTATTCTTAGTAGTTCGCCACTATAGGAATCTCTTTATTCCTTTATGTTGAACAAGTGGGACTGATATGAACTAATACCAAAAGCTTACTATATAGAGTATAGACCTTCGACATTTCCCATGGGCACCCTAGAATCTTCGGCCCACCGTACATGCCCATATTTCCCATGGGCTGCACCAAGGGGGGTTGCCCGGCCCATGGGATCTATGGGCATGTACGGTGGGCCGAAGATTCTAGGGTGCCCATGGGAAATGTCAATGTCTACGGGCTCTATGCGGTGTATATAAAGGCCTGAACTATCTGTGGGCTATGATTAGCCATGATTATAGCACCTAATTGAAATTGACTTCAACATGCGTCCTCCTTTATTAAATCTTATTATAAATTAAAAGGAAGCTCAAATTGTGGTTTTCTAAAGGGGATACACGAGGCTATATAGATGGGCAGGGTATTATTTCCGATGTTGCGGCTTCGTTCCTAAGCAGCAACTACCTATATCACAACACTAACCAACAGGTACTAGCCTGGCAACAAGTGTTCTTTATAATGATCTTGGCATTAAGCTGCGCAGTCTGATCCCGAATGTTTATTTGACTATATGCCCGCCTAGTGGCTGTTCGGGGCCTTCGACCTAAGGCGATTACGATAAATGTCTCGGGGATGAATAATATGACGAAACGCGTATTGAAATAATAATTAACTGGAGACTTAGAGTATGTATTCACTACTTTAAATCATGGAAGTCAAGCACGATGGTATTTGAATTTAATGAGAGAAAACCGTGCTGAACTGTAGCAAGATATGAAACAAAATAATCGTCGACATACTCTTTTCCATTTACTAAAACAGCCACTACAGGCAATATTTGGCGATCGTGTTGATAGAGGACAAATGGTGATGATTGCCTTATTCGCCTTTCTCCAGGGCTGCTTTCTCGAGTGCTTCTTTCTCCAGCGCTTCCCGTCTTCCAGTGCTCTTCGGGTCGTAAAACGGCACTTCTCCAAGACCGACAGCGCGGTGGCCAGCCCGTGGACCAATATCTTCGTAATCCCAGGTCGCTGCGTGATATGTGGATCGGTTATCCCAGATCGCTATCAAAGACGTCAGCTATAAGCAGTTTGCAAAACATAAATACTAGACGGCATACCGAGATCATTCGGGCTTTGCCAACGGAAGCGAACTTGCAGATCATGGTTCTCCATGATCAAGTTTACAAACCAGTCGGTGACATGTTTGCTCTCTTCGTCGGTCAGTCCGTTGATTTTCTCCACATGAGTGCCCACGGCGAAGACACTCTTCCATCCTGTAACAGGGTTGGTGCGGATTACTGGGTGCTCAGCACGCAGATCTTCCCCGAAATTCTCAGGGGCACCGCGAGGGCCCTTGAAAACCTCAAAGCCGCTAGCCTTCGCAAATTGGTTGAATTGAGGCTGCGAAAAGGCTACAGTCAACCCTTCCAGGAATTTCTGGTAAGGTGGTGAGAGGCGGTCATATAACTCGTATCCCGAAGCCCATAGAGTATCTGCACTTGTGCATGAGCTCTGCAAGATCATAAGATAAAGAGAATTAATGCTTACCTCCCCCAGTCCTTGGGAGAACGGTCAAACGCAAGATTGTATAGTCGCTCGGGATGGGTTCAAAAGTAATGTCGCTGTGCCACTCCTTTCTGGCAGTCTGATGGCGGACAACACGGGATTTGTACAGCTTCTTCCCCTCCTCTGAATTGATCACACTGATCTCATCATCTTTGACACTTATCTCTCGGCGTGAGTTGGCAACTGGGTGAATATGTAGCCCGGAAGTCTCCGGCTTTCCCGAGAGCTGTCCAAGTCGCTGAGCCAGTTCCTTTTGTAAGTTGTCTGTCAGATCATCCTGCTTGCGGAAGAAGACCACTCCTCGCTGGGAAACTGGGATAGGATTATTAGCCTGGAATCATTATCAGAGATGAGGACTGACTGGTAATGGCAAGATCTCGAAGCAATGCATCAGAGTTCGGAGCACACAGGATGTCCTTCAGGTTTGCGTTGGGATATTCGCGTCCAATGACTGGTGTAACATCAAATGACTCGAAAGCACCCAGAGCACCACTTAGTTTCAAAGGTACTCGTCCAGGGCCTTTTGCAGCAGGGACTGCGGTCTCGGTGATGACAGATGGAGCCATAATGGTAGAGAGGAATGGACTCGTAATCCAAAAGATTTAGAATCTTGCGACTCGGTTATAGCGGTCAAAACTGAGCAAAGACGTTTAATTTATACCCTATTTTTCCAGATCTACCGGCATTTCTATCCCGATAGCTGGCCTCGGGTACATTGTCCTAGCCACGTTTGACCGCAACCCCGCTTTGGATGAATACACATATTTTGCACATTATCTCCAGGGCCCACCTTATGATGTCAGTTATTGAGGTTGGACAATAATGTTCTGTATGCTCTATGAAAAGTGGCTGGGATTCGCTATAAACTAGATGTAATATTGACTCATAAATACCGGCTGTCATGTGCCGACGTCCCGTCGAACGGGATAGCACAATACACATATTTGTATAGGAGGTGACAATTTAACTTATCTGTGCTAAGGCCTTCCCTTTCCTTGCCAATGTCATTCATTAACTGACGCGGACCTGTTACGTTTGTACTAATGCCCCAAACACGCTATGAGCAACAGGGGGAAAATTGTTAGTAGTCTGGGATGGAATACGCCTGAACGAGATGATGTCTATTTTGGTTGACATCCATGATTCTCAACTAAATCAATAGCACTCCTCAATAGATAAACGGGTAAATAAAACTCATTGTGAACCCGAATACCACCAGAGCTCGATTACCTCGTCATTAGGGGGAGCATCATCGACACCGGGTTAGAAAAGGTGGAGAAGGCTAGAGAACAAAGCATTTGCCACGGGTTTAGCAGAGGAGGTTCTTCGCCTACGACGTTCGGGCCCCTCGAGTCAACTACACGAACCGGGATGTATTATGATAGGCGGGGCGAACACGACATTGTCTCTGGAAATCGAATATCCGCCATTCACACACCAATGGCGGCCCAGGATGATAAGACGATATTCTCGGCAGGTTGGAACCTAACACCATTCCCGCCATTAGAAAGCTTAGTCCGGTGTAACAGCAAGCCTTTGAGTGTTGCCGGCGACTAGAACGCCAGAGGATCACCGACATACGATCAGACACCAAGGGGCTCGGTATAGGGGCCACGTGAATGAAACCCGAATATATGTGCTTGTCCATATCCAGACAACGTACACCTACCAAGAGAAATCATGTAGTGAAAGATCAAGAGTGATTGGCCGTTATGTCAGCATTCTACCGATCCGTGGACGCCATGCCGAAAGCCGAAGCCTGCCGAGACAGGAGTCCCGGCTTTCCCAGGGCCAAATGAAAAAAGGTCGCAATTACCTGGCCGCCAGTCTTTCTGTAGATCGAAAAACTTCGCTAGATTATGAACTAAACTGTCAAGGGAAAGTTGGGATTATATTTGAGGTGCATAAACATCGCTAGAAGGCACTGTAAACAACATATACGAAGGACAAGTAGAACGGCATGGTATAGAGAACTAGGCTGTATAGTTATTTGCACCCTAGTTAGTCATTTCATTACCCTCGGATATTACCTAAGACCCATGTCATCTAAGCACCCTTTAAGGTTCAGTATTTGGGGGGATTTTGGTCCGACGCCGAAGTTTATTGTAAACTACACTATAGACGATAAATTCAAAAAATGGACTATAAAAGATAGCACATAGGACTCTATTTTCCGTGGTCAACAACTAAAGAACCAAAAAAATGTCCAAGGGATTAATCTTTATAACGGGGGCCTCTGGCTTTATTGGCAGCGCCACTGCCGTGGAAGCTCTAAAGGCTGGATATCGACTACGAGTTTGTCTTCGTAGGCCCTCGGTCCAACTCCAGACCTTATTATCAAAGTACAGCACGCAAGTCGAATTTGTCGTCATTCTAGATTTTACCGATGAAACGGCATTCAGTGACAAGCTGGACGGTGTGGACTTTGTGCTCCACCTTGCATCCCCTCTTCCTCATGGCACCGACAAGGAAACGTACTTCACTCCAGCGGTGAAAGGGACCACTGCCTTACTGAAAGCGGCAACCAAGGTGCCAAGCATCAAGAAGGTCGTGGTTACCTCATCCATGGCTGCTTTGGTTCCATTGGATGGTATTCCAAATGGTGGAGTTATCCAAGGTAAACAATGTTCTTTCTTTCATTTCCACATCGACGTCGTATTGACACCTTCTTCAGAGAGCAATAACTGGGACTTCTCAGTCGATGAAAACGGAAGTTTCGAGGATCCTACGAACCCGGCTGCAACACCCATGGTACTGTATATGGCTTCTAAGCTGCTTGCAAACATGGCAACCTGGGACTTTTGGAAAACAGCCAAGCCGCAGTACGCCTTAGTCACGCTGCACCCAGCATTTGTGTATGGCCACAATCTTATGCAGACATCCGCCGAGGGAATAAGGGGAGGTTCCAACGGTGCTCTATGGGGATTTATCATGGAAGGCAACCCGACTGGATTTTTGACGGGAGTACATGTTCAGGATGTAGCCGAGGCGCATATTAGAGCGCTGGATCCGAAGATAGTGGATGGCTCAAAGTATTTGCTGGCTGGAAAAAGTATAACCGGGCCAGAGGTTGCGCGGTTCATGCAAAGGCTCTACCCAGACGCTGGAGCAGCTGTCACCGAGGATGCCCAAGGTGTGTCGAGCCCAGTCAATACGACCAAAGCAGAGGCCGAGCTTGGGATTAAATGGCGCTCATTTGAGGTAATGGTGCAGGAGGTGATAGATCAACAGCTTGGCTTTCGCAAGAATGCATTTGGCTAGATGTTGTCGAGCAAGGCCGACACCTACCTTACCACGGTAAACGATTGGGTTTTTGTGGACCCGCCGTGCTATGTACATAATTCTGGATTTACAGTGAACTCTGGTACTTAAACCCTGAGACTCGCCTATTTCACCGGGGATAATTCAACATGTCCTCAGACGCACAGGTCATTCTTAGTGTTTTCTTCAATCAATCCATTATCTCATGTTGTTGGTTCCGCCCGATCTCATTTGTCGCTATGCATACTAGCCAATACTCCCTGAGCTTGCTCTGATAGATGCTAATAATAGGGCTCAACAAAACCAAGGGTAACTCAAGGATCAAATTGAGTTTAATTTCACGTTAAGTATGGCACAGTTGCCTATATGTAAAAGTTGTGATATAAGGCTTGTTCGACTAGAAGCAAAGCTGCAATATCAGAATTAATTCCACGGTTCTCTATACATGAATCAAGTTAATTGTAAATCAACCTATACGCATGTATGTATATAGCCTCATGTTTCCCTGAGATAATGACATCCGACCTTCCAATCTTCCCCTGAAGCTATCAGGCTATCACTGTCAACGCTCAAAGCGTGGCTGCGCACCGGACACTGGTAGACTGAGTCTGGGCTAGTCTGGGCTGTGGCTAAAATAGGCTCAAGTGGGGAAGGCGAGATGAGGGGGCAATGTTTTCTCTCCAGCCGAACCCGGCAGCGTCTTCTGCCCGGTCAACATTTCGCCTCTCCATGGTTGTGGACTCTACTTGGGCAAGCATACGCCTAAACAACGCACGTGATTCTCTGCTACAGTAACTGCTTTTCTCCGCATAGTAGGAAATAGTTGGACAGGTTCCTCGGCGAAGAATTGGAGATAAGTTATCAAGGACAAATTGGCTCTCGGTAGTCGGCAAGTTTACAGAAAGCCTATGAGCCGCTAGAGAACCCTTAACTCCACTCTTCAGTATACAGAGAGTCTTAGACTATTTCCAATGGACCCACTACTTTCAGGCGGCTTTCCCAGATTTTCTGTGGAATTACCCCGCCTCTGTTCGCCGGATTGGGGGCATTTTATAAACCACATTGATTCCAATCCGGAAGTCTTTGCCATCGCCTCCTACTGCAAAAAGAACTCCAAATCGGAACCAAAAACGAGTAAGTGTCCGTGCTCACGGATACGGATAAAAGCCCTGTCTCTTGACGCGGGAAACATGTCTATCAAAGGCATAGAATCGGGGAACGTTGGAGAATTCATCGAGGATATTGATGGTGCCCTTGCTGAGCAGGGAGTTGCGATCCCAACCGACCCCAAAAATGTCGAAAAGTTCACCGAGGACGAACAGAAAAGGATTATTCATAAGGTCGACCGTCGACTTGTGACTGGGTTGGGGCTTCTCATGGGCATCTGTCTTTTGGACAGAACCAACCTTGGCTCAACTTCCATTGCTGGGTATGCACCTTTTATTTGTATACTATCCCTTGGAGCATACAATCGATTGACTGATGATAAATCTTCAGAATGTCGGTGGACCTTGGTCTAGAGAGCGGCTCAAAATATGTACGGTTAGTCTTATTCGTTCTATGGCCGTATATTGATAGGATTGCAGTCACTTGTGCTTTTGATATTTTTTGTACCTTATGTGCTGGTGCAATTGCCGGTTAATGCCATTGCACAAAATGTCAGCCCTAGAAATTTCTCCTGTGGCGTCACACTGTGCTGGGGTGTTCTGATGGTGGTAAGATATCACACACGTTTCTCCTCCGTCGCTAACTGGAAAAGGGCGCGGCATTCGTCAACAAATGGTGGCACCTCCTGATCATTCGGGCCTTACTCGGGGCTTTTGAATCGAGTGTATTTGCAGCACTCCTTCCGTTGTTATCTTCTTGGTATACCCGATACGATGTGCATAAGCGGTTCTCGATCAGCTATTTCATAAGCTGTCTAATAGCCGCCCTCGGACCAGTTCTGGCTTGCGGCTTCATGCAGATGGATGGATTGGGTGGCCTTGCTGGTTGGAGATACATCTTTTTAATGGAAGGGGTCCTCAATTTTGCTGCTGCCATCATCGGTTGGCTACTGATTGTTGAGTATCCCCTAGGGTCTCACAAATGCTGGATGTTTTTGACAGAGAAAGAGGAGGCATTCATCATCCGTCACATAGATGCTGACCGAGCGGATGCCGCTGAACAATTCAAGTTTAACCTTCGTGATTTCTTACGTCCCGCCAAAGATTGGAAGGTCTTTACTTACCCTATGATGTTTCTGTGAGTTGTTTTCTTTCTGTAATATGACTGACCTGCTCCCTGCTCACTCTGCAATCAACAGACTGTCGACTTGCGTTTCTTACTCCATTGCATTTTTCTTGCCTATTATTCTTGAATCTAAACTGAAGTATGGAGTGATCGCGGCACAAGGATTGTCCACTCCCCCATATGTCGTGGCGGGTATCTGGATGTACTTTACCGCCTGGCTAGGCGACAAATACCACATTCGTGGACCCATCGTTATATGGAATTGCCTTCTGTCTATTATTGGTCTGTCTCTTCTGGGCTGGGTTGCATCTCCAGGAGTGCAATACTTTGGGGTGATTCTTGTCACAGCAGGTGGCAACGCAAACCTTCCAACGGACTTGGCCTGGCAGGCCAATAATATTCGCGGGAAATGGAAACGCTCATTTTGCAACGCTTTGCTTCTCATGGGTGGTGGAATTGGTGGTATCGTCGGTTCTTTGGTATTTCGTTCTCAGGATGCGCCTACGTATCGGCCTGGAATTGAAGCCTCTATTGTGTAAGTGCTCCCTTGACCTCTTCAATGCTTCCATTTGAATACTAACTGTTACTTTCGTCATTTAGGGCAAGTTTCACCACCACGGCAATTGCAATAGCTCTGATGTTACGAATGCATGCTCTCAATAAGATGGCCGCCACTGGAGCTATCGTTCTGGAAGGGCTACCTGGATTTAAATACACGCTATGAAGTGAAAAGAAAAGAGAAAGTGTGGTTTTTATCAGACTCATTATTCAAAATGGCAGCGTGTTCGCCAAATGATGCCTGGGACCGACGGCTGTGAAAGTGAGCTGCTCAAAGCTTCGCTCAATTCCGAGAAAGCCATTGGCAACTGCCGAGTCATGTATTTATCAAGCCAGAGTTCTCACAATTTGAGGAGAAAGTTAACAGTCTTCATGAGTATTACTACATTTTAAAATATTTTCCTTGTTTGAAATCTCCCCCTGAACCCGAAGTTGACGCTGATATGTTTTTCAAAGTAAGTTTATGAGGTTTCGGATACAGGATTCGCCAACTGAGAGTATGATTGAAATATAGAGCTATTTCCAGTAGGATACCAGTTGGAAAGATTTTCGTAACTCTTACTAACGTGATCGAGACTGGGTAGGTTCAGGACGCAGTTGAAGATCTTCATCCTATAGAAGAGGTACTTCTCCTATATTTTCCTGGGGTTCGTTATAGGGTCAACTGAGTCAAGTATAGCGATCCTGGGACACATGAATTCAGAAAAACGGAAATAGCTCTCGTACGAAACCATTTAAATGAGCACTGTCTGTATAAGGGTAGTCTGGGTGATCCTTTTCCGTGGACTCGGCCACTTGTGGTCGACTGACCCGTTTCTTGAAGAGTTGGTCCACAGCGTTCCAGGTTCTCTGCTTGAGGCCATTTGATGCCCATAGTCTTCAGTGCCTTGATTAGAATATTAAATCCTCCAGACAAGCGGTGGATACTCGGTAAGCACCCAACTGAGATGAACCAATTGTGTATCGGAAGCGAATACATAATACCTTCGTGACAGAATATTCTTTTGTAAAGTCGTGCAATACAGCAAAGGTAACAAGGATGGTATGATTAATGATGGTCCATGTCCCATGGGCCCCTACAAATGCAAGAACATGGCAATGATAACAAACTAGTCGATATGCAGCTTTAGGAAGTTTTTGAATTCATTCTTACGTTCGCGTCAGATAGCATAGGTGGCCTAAGAGGCAGTTAGTCTAGGGGGTGGTCAAAATAGCGATATTGCCGTCTTGATGTGGTCCTCGTTCAGAGGGTAAAACATCGAATGAAGTAATGTGAACCAGTCCTGGAGCAGGGCGCACCTGTGAAGTATCTACTTCTCCTTTACGCCGTGCAGGCTACTCCTGTGAAGAGCTGAAGGAATATTGCTTCAGTCATTCACAATCACTACGTACGGAGCCCGTCGTCCACTAAAGCCTTTAAACCGACCCAGCATAACCCACCATCTTGAAGCCTTAGTTATAGGTATTTTACCCAAATAAACTTATCCACACCTCCACCGAAATGTTCCGATCCATGGAATGCGCTGCTATAATCGAAGACAATTACGGTAAAACACTGAACAAGACTCATCACATCATGAATCGACCCTTCCAACTACTACGCGGGCACATTCACCATCGACAGCTCCCTTCTGATGTTTTCTGGTAAATATTTCCGCAATTTCTTTTTTTCCTCGAATAATATGCCGGTTTGGCTTACCGCACGCCGCGGGGCGTTACCGGCACTAGTACCAACGAGCATTCCCATTGGTTCGGTGGGGATGAGCCGGCACACGTCCGCAAAGGAGTGGGTTTTCGGCGACCGGGTGTGCCGTGCCGGCGTTCCACTGTTACCATACTCTGCCTTCACATCTCTTTGTCGTAGATTCTTTTTCGGCCGACGTTGTCGAATAGCCCGCAACTGAAATGACGATGAGTTCGGATTCAGTTCCGCTCAGGCATTTTAACCCGTTACCTCCCACTTCCTCTATTACCTCCATCGCTGCTTAATATTGATTGATGTTGAAAACTCAATATGACCCATCCTCCCATGTTCCACCAGGTCACCTCGATAGTCCAAGAAACTCAACAAGTTACTGATCAGAAAGAGATGCCAACAGCCGAAATCCCAGAAACTGTGGAGAGATCGAAACACGATGTCGGTTGGCGAAAGGTTGTCCGGAATTTTACGCCAGCGTGAGTCACAACAGACGATGTTTTAGAAGCAGGTACTGACTGCAGCACAAGCTGGTTCTCTGTGAATATGGGAACAGGAATCGTGTCAGTTCTCCTCAACACCCTCCCTTACAATGGGCAGTGGCTTTACTACATCTCCATCATCATTTTCATCTTGAACGTGGCGTATTTCACTGTCTTTCTGGCCATTACTCTCCTGCGCTACATCTTGTATCCGGAAATTTTCAGGGTTATGGCCACTCATCCAGTTCAATCACTCTTCTTGGGAACGTTCCCAATGGGGCTTGCCACAATGATCAATATGTTTTGCTTTGTCTGTGTATCTCGTTGGGGTGATGGTGCAGCCTATTTTATTTGGGCAGTGTGGGTTTTCGATGCAGTGGTATCAGTCCTGGTTGCCATGGGAATACCGTTTCTACTGTATTGGTCTCTCCCATTTTGGGTTTGCTTCTCCGTTAACACCAATTCACAGGACAACGAGGAAGAATGGGCTCGATCTTTCCTCTATGACTGCTGCTTGGCTTCTACCAATTGTCTCGTGTGTTGTCGCGGCGGCGTCGGGTTCCATTGTTGCAGATGTCCTGACGGACGCACAACTTGCCCTTGCTACCATCCTAGCAAGCTATATTCTCTGGGGAATTGGCGTACCTCTCGCGATGATGGTCATCTGTATATATTTGCAACGCCTGATGTTTTACAAGCTTCCACCAGAAGCAATGCTTGTAAGCGTGTTTCTTCCCCTGGGTCCACTTGGACAGGGTAGTTTCGGGTAATTCGCCCCGAAACCAATTTTATACATCTAATCTTCTGACGAAATTTCATAGTATCCAAAAACTTGGAATAAGTGCCCAAACAATTTTTCCAAAGACGAGTACCCTGAGTGTTTCAACCGGTGCAATATTCTATAGCGTCGGATTTTTGATCGGAATCTTATTATGGGCTTTTGGGGTCGTTTGGCTCTCCTTTGCAGTTGCAACGTCGATAAAGTCCAGGAAATTCCCTTTCAATATGGGATGGTGGGCTTTGACCTTCCCATTGGGAGTTTTTACCGCTTCCACCTGCACCATAGGCCAGGAGCTGCCTTCGCGCTTTTTTTCAGTGCTTGGGACAGTAAATTTTTGTTTTCGCAGTAGTAATGATCGATACTAACGAACCGCAGATATTCTCTGTCACGGTTGTGGTTCTTTGGCTGGTCGTTAGTTATAACACTTCCCGCGGCATCATCCGAGGTGATATTTTCGTTGCACCTTGTCTTAAGGATCTGGGAAGAGCTAAAGTCTAATCTGGTGAATGTGAGTTGGGGAGGGGAGAAGTTCCCGGGCAATTTTCGTCTAATTATATGTAAAATAGACAGAATGCGTACATCTGTGACATCAAGGGCTCTTGTACGTTGTCAGTCACATTCATCAAAAAGCAGTTTTCCTTGTTTCCATGGGGCTTCCATTACGGCTTACAACAGCAAGCACTAGAGTGGCCTTACTTGAACCTGTAACTTATGGTGATAGCTTACCCCGGAGAATAAGAGAAGCCAGGGGTATACCCTCCCCCATACTTTAAGAGGACTAGTGAGATAGTCTTAGATAAAGAAACGCTCCTCACTATAGGTTTTCGACCTATTTAAGTCCGCCGAGATTTTAGTACTACTCTTAGTACTACTCTTAAGCAATATAAATAAATTAACACCACTGTTACGGACATGCTAGTCACCAATCAGTTATGGGGACCGCAACTACTGATGGGCCACTGAGAGCTAACTGATCTATCTGTTATCAGATAACGACACCTAATACCCAGATATTCCTGAGATTCAGGGAAAGAAGAAACTACGATTATGCTCAGTGAGCAAGAGCATGATCCGCCCTGATCGGATCCACTCGCCAGGGGTTTTCTGGTACATATGCGACTATCTGTACTGGGAATCCGCTACAACACGAAGTGCCATTCTAGGACAGCTGCACCACGTGACTAGACCTGGCACTCACCCGCCCCGCGGGTCCAAGTTCTAGTCCGCACCTCAGACGGTCAGGGTCGAACCTCATTGGCGCCCCTCTTGAAGCAATCAAGCAAAATCCCCGCATACGAGAGGACTCCGTGTGGAAGCTTTCATCTACAGCGACGCAGCCAAAGTTGCCGGAAGTAAGAACACCATATTTTGAGTACTCTACAGCATCCATTTAGGTGTAAAGGACTCTGAGTTACAAACTAACTAAGCACGGGCAAATTTGTACCGCAGTCTGTTTACATAAGATATTATATGCTTGTCAATGGGCTGTCGCTTCGTCAACCCATCTATCTTCAATCCCGACAAGTAGTACAACACCCGAGAGTGGCGTGGTTCGTCAGGAGGTCACGCATACACCTTATTGTTTGCAGGCTAGTTTGGGAGATAAGGACCCCAAGGAGACGGTTCATTGTCGCGGATCCACCTCTTTTCATCCTCAGAGTCAGCAGGAGGAATTCTGAAACCATTAATGTGCACAAACTCCCGTTCGAGCTCCTCGCCGTTGACCTCCCAATCATAGCCTTTGTCCGCAATAAATGGCTTCAAGGCGTCATGGGCGGTATTCATAAAGCGAGTCCTCTGAGGGCTCTCGCCAGGAGGAAAGTGCCTAGCGATATGGCTGAATGTAAGCCTGACAAAGGGTTTCTTCCCTTCTGTCAGCTGCTTAATAGAATGATCAGCATTTTGAGCATCAGTACAATCCTCTTGGACTTACACATGGAACCCCAGCTCGGTACATGGTGGCTGCAGGCATCTCAATGAATAAGACAACAACGTAGAAGGCGGGGACAGCATGTGTATATATCGAGGTAATTGCCTGTGAGAGTTGCTCTCTGTGATCAGGATCTGTGAAGGTACCTGTTGGGTGATAGATCCTCCAATCCGGCATAGTGGAAGTGAATCGAGGTGAACGAAATTCTATTAAGTTTATAAAATGTGTATAAACCAGAGACTATTGTGCCTACACTGGAAAGACGAGGTGCTTTATAGCACCCAGAGGCAGTTAGTTTCCAATGTTCGTCAGTCTCTTCACGCCCGAGAAGGGAATGAGCGATATTCGTGTTAGTAGCCGATGATTAGTGATCTATACTTGCATAGCCAATGATCTAAGTGACTCAGGTTTATAGATTATTTATCAGGCCGAAGAGAGTGGACTTGTTTCAGTTCTCGTGAAGCAATTATATTCAAGATTAATAACACATCCGCCTGATGATGAAGTCTTAGTGTTCGTGTCGCTGGGTCAAAATCCTAAAATTGCGCATAGCCTCTGCAAAATTCTAGCTTTCTCCATAGTAACAAATATAGCACTAATGAAAGCAACGAATCTTTTATAAAAAGCCCTGTTCAGCTTCATGTTGGAATGAGACAGACAGACAATATTTTCTTTTCAATTCATACTGCAGCTTTTATGCTAATAACTTTGACATGTTTTATTTCTAGCAATCACTGTAGGAATTCAACCTCGGAGTTTTTTAATCTGAGATTACCCTATAAGCATATATACTTTTACAGAGCGATTTAAAAATAAACCAGGATACATTAATGATGAAAGCTTCCACATGGAGCCCTCTTCCATGCGGGGATTTTGCTTGATTTGCTTGATTGCTCGAAGACGGGCGGTAAAGGCTGCTGAGGAGAATCGGTCGCCAAGCCAAAAAAGGGGTGACAAATGCGAAATATCGTTGGCTAGCTAGATCCCCCTCTTGTTATACTGGAAAGCATCTGGTCGACTCCCAAGCAATGGAGCCTTCTATGTCGAATATCTAAAGCTCAAGAGTTTAAACAGGTTTCTTATTACACCATTTTTGAAGTCTCTTGGTAAGTGAGTGGTTCTACAGTACCCGGACAAGCAGGTACGTTTCTTTATTTCCGAGGTCCCTTGATCACTCACTGCGTGATATGTAATCCCCTAACGACCTGGCCATACTCAGACTTATTTTGTTAAATGGAACAAACGAAATAACTAATCGAAGATAAACTATCCTTTGCTTCACGTACACTAATCAAATCGGCGGATAAAGAAGTACTACTATAGCCGCCACCGTATATAGCTTATAGGTAGGTGGCGACTGGCCTTTGAAGTTAGCCCCTATTTACCCCGTGATGTTAGTGTAATTGAGCGCGCACGCCTAGCGAATAGTTCTGTAACAAGTACCTAAGCATACAACGACGGGACTGAACGCACAGAAGCTAGCGTGGAATACGGACGTGCTTTCTCTATGTGTGTACAATTCATTTACCCTGGTTCCTCACCGAAGTGACATGCAGGATATACGAAACAGATAGTATCGCTATATTTAGGCTGGACGCCTTACTATTTACAATGTCAAACAGCAGGGGTCGCTGCCATCTACGCCGCAGAGCCCAAAGGAAACGATTACCTGCCCTCCCCCTACGTATTGACCAATACGATTAGATGTGACCGGTCCGATTTACAAGGAACATCTCTCTCCTTCCCTCACAGCCACTAAAAGTGGTTTCTGCCCGGGTATGTTTGCCCTGTGGCCCAATTCTCGTTAGAATATAGCGGACATTCCTGCCGGTCGCTCTGATTCCATGGTCCTCGCGCAATGGCCGATAAATTGCACATGGCTGCGGTAGATTGTGCAGATAATATTGCTCTGAATTACCTATTGTCTTTTTGATCCTCCTAAAACACTCATGTTCAGATATCTAATCGTCACTGCCAATGAGACATAGCCTGGATTCGGTTGGCTGCCTGTGAATCCCGTCTAGTGTGTTTTTTTTTCTTTCACCTATTTTGATATTCATTGGATCCACGTCGTTGGACCTGAAACTGATTTTGCCTAACCATTCCCTGCGCTGCCACTACTACCTATGAGGATATGTTCGTGGTAGATGTTTTGGAAAATAGGAGGGGTTGCATAAGGATCTGATTCGCTGACACTGGGTATGAAAAGATACCTTGCCGCCATCCTGGTCCTGCGCTACTTCAATCTTTTTTATAGATCCAAGAGAAGGTTTCAATTCTGGTACTGCTCACGAGCTGTAAAGACCACAAAAGCCCTTACAAACTCCTAATAATACTTTTCGCATTAGACTATCAACTTGCGGCTTAAAAAACAGCATCTGCCATGAGGTGAGAAAAGGGATTAGCGCGACTTTGGTCGGGCTGTGTTTGAAAGCGCCACCACTATAGCGCGAGCGTTGCACTGACCCCTTGGGCCGAAACAGAATGCGGCTGGCCATCGGCGGTTAGGCTTCCACCTAGAGCCGCCTGCTCTTTACTCCATAAATGTCAGCATAGACCCTATGGTAGCCTCCAAATCCTTGACATCCATCTATCTGATGAAATTCCTTTGAAGCCACTAATTATTATTCTACATGGGCGATCCATTTTCTGTGGCTGGGAGCGCGGTAGGCGTTATCTCGCTTGGCCTCACAGTCTGTCAGGGCCTACTGGTTTACTATGGGCCATTCAAAGCGTATGATGAACAGATTCATGACAACTCAAACTGTATAACAAGTTTCGACAGCACGTTGAAGGCGTTACAAGATGTTCTCGCTATCGGGCAAGTTTTTGCTTCTCCTCTGACGGCTCAATCAGTAACAGTCGCACTCGACTCCATCTTTAATTGCCAAGAAGGACTAGGAAAATTGAGCAAGATGCTTGATAAGTGCAAAAGCACGCGTACGAGCTTTTTGGGGTCCAAAATCCAGATCAATAGGATACTGTATCCTTTCAAACGCGATACACTGATGGCACTTTTGGAAACGGTGAGCTGGCTGCAGGCTCATCTCAATACCTCACTGCAAATACTGAATATGTGAGTCTAAACTAGAAGAAACAGAAAGTATTTCATCGCTAATTGGAAACTTCAAGGGCTATGTTGGCTATCTCTCAGAAGCAAACAGACATGGTTCTTACGTACTCAGCATCAAGCGCCCTCGATACCAGTCATATGTTACTCGTGGCTCAAAGGTCTGATCAGCGCGGCATTAGTATTGAGCACAGACTAGAAATGCTTGAAGATCATCTTGAACAGATGGTATAGCTATCCCCCATGATCCAGATCTCGAAGAATTCCATCCTTGAGCTGCTACTTACGATTTTACTTAAGCTTAGAAAAGGGACAACTCCCGCAATAAAGCTCGGCCAGCTCTCACACCAGGCCTACTCCAATCGGCGTTGGAGCACCAACGAATTCTGGATGAAGAGTCGCATAATCAGGGGACTGTCATTATTTCTCAGCGGAATCGGCGCCGAACAAAATGCTCATGTGGCACGACATACTCCGGGAGAGCACGCAACGTCGGTTCAGCTTGTACTAGCGGATGTGAACTTCACACAGAAAGCAAAACCATTATGACTTTGCTCCATCGCCGAATATTCCGGAGATGGGCTCTACGAATTTACCTTGAGACATCGTTTTCAAGCACAATCGGAGCAGGAGGCTTCTCGATCAGCCCTAAACTTGAATTTCGTGCCATTGTGCCAATAAATTGCGAGATATTCAGCGCACTGTATGGTGCAGAGGAGAGTTTCAAGTCGCAGAACGTCTTTACTGTGATCCAGAATACCCGGATGGCTCTATTTGAAGCCTTTCGTGAAGGCAAAGCATCAAAGTCGGATGCTCTTCGAAGCGGCGACACTATTCTACATGTGAGTATCAATTTGCCATGGATGCCTTAAGCTTCCACCCATAGAAATACTCTGGTGCTGGGAAATTTGAGCCTTTCAGTTGAATGTCTTTTATTAACCACAACTATAGGTAGTCACTGACTGGCAACGTTACAGTTCTCGCTGGGATACGTTCACGGCTCACCTGGCGTTCGTTTATCAAAAGCCTCTTACAAGCGGGCCTCTCTCCGGACCGTGCGAATGACTACGGTCAGACTCCTGCCGACAGTATGATCAGTCGTTTTGGTCATGAAGACAGCGATCTGGAAAAGCAGCAGATAACGATTGATATCTGTTCAGACCTACTGAAAGCTGGGGGATATATGACCCGAGAAGCCCTTGATTGGAGGCATCGAGAGAATGTTTTCAACCTTTGGTACGATATGCGGAGAGGAGATGGACGTAGGAATGATGACTTGTTCGAAGACTTTAGCTTCCGCCTTATTTGGAGAATTGCTGATGAGAAAGGGCTCCAAGGTAATTACACTTCAAAGAGCAATCTGAAAGAATGCGACGCTGAATTAAATCAAGATATCGATCTCCCAGAAGAGCTACAGCCTCTCGCGTACAAATCGAGGAAACTTATGACCGCACAACTGAGAAGAGGGGTCGATTTCCATCAATGGATTGAAACTTACACTCGCTGGGGGGATGGTTTAGCCCTGATCCTTCAATTGGTCATGCACCAACCAAAGGCGCCCTTAAAGCGGCATGCGAAGCGAACTGCGAGGAGAGCGTCAAGATATTGGTGAATGATCACAAGTGCTTCATTGGAAATAAAGAGCTTGCAATCGCCAGTTTTCATCCCAACCAGGCTATTGTTGATCTAATTGTTAGCGAAATCATTGGTCGCAGAAAGCGGTTACAGGCTCTCGCAGAGGCACACTTACCGAGAAGTGTCCAATATCAATTGCGCATCGAACCCCAAAGCTTACTGAATATCCATGCTTATGAAGCATATACACTACTTGCAGCGACTTCTGTGGATTTGGAAGGTCTCCTGGAGCGTCATCGATGGTCAGTCTTTGACTATGTCGGTGTCAATCTTGATTTGGCGGACCGGTTATGGAGTGCTGGCTTCCGAGGCGTGGATGAGATTGATGATGACAACAAGACGTGTCTGACAAAAGCTTGGAGAAAGACACCACCCTGTGATTTGGAAGTCTTCCTGCAAAAGACTCACTGGTTGATCAGCAAAGGCGCTGATATCTATCACCAAAAGTCATCTGGATCGGCCTTGCATGACATAGGAAATAGCGTGGGATCAATTTTATACTGGATGAAAGGAGACGAAGACTCTTCTTCGAAGATCCATTCGTTGAGTGAACCTTCAAAGGCCTTATTGAGAACAGTTCTTTCCGCCAATACTCGAGATGATTGCGAATGTGCCTGTTCTCTGAACGGATGCTCTCCACTGACGACCCTTTTGAGCGGACTTTTGCCCACACGAACTGACCATGAGACTGTAGCAAAGCTTATTCATCTCTTTGCTGAATTATTGAGAGTTGTTCTCTTTCACTCAAAATCCGAGCCCGAGCCTGATGAACTCTTCAAGAGCCATTTGAGTGTTGGCATACTTCGCTTCATCACGTTCAAAAGCTTGGATATCACTCATACTTGCTTGCATGAGTACAGAAAGATCGAGCCAGAAGAAATAGAAGCGATCCAAGATGAAGAGGAACCCTTGATATTAGATCTCGAGAGGCTATTGACACAATTTCTCGGAGAATCGAATGTGCATGGCTTGCCACTTCCGCGCTACATAACAGGACTGTGGCGGACGAACATGGCTTCCTTTCTATCAACACCAAGACCTCATAGTGTAAAAGAAATTACTCAAATTCTTGAGTCGGGAGTAATCCTTGATGGTTACGAGACACAGGGGGGAAGGTTTCTTCATCCTAGCTGCGGCCGAGGATCATTAGAAATGGAATAAGGGTGCTGCTGGAAGAAGATCAGAGCAGAATCTCATCGATTAAAGATACATGTCCGAAAGAATCCCGGAACAGACAGTGCAGTCAGCGTTCATTAGTATGGTACCTGCCCCACTTATCTTGCTGCCAGACCCGCCCTCGCCCGAACCTCCGCCCTCTGAGGCGGCCCTCGAGCGGCCCTCATCCGCCCTCATTTGCATGAAAAAAGTTGACCTTTCCTAATTTAGACGTATAAAACTGCTAAGTCATGTTAATAAATTACTATTATTTAACACTATTCTGCTTTGAATATTAGTTTTATAATCTATTTCTTTATTAGTATCAAGAAATTTTAAGAAATTAAGTTATATCATAATTAATTATAGTAGGTAATAGTGATATTATAGATTTTTTAATCTCTTTAAGAAAAGTTATGGTTAGTACCTATTTTAATATAGATATATATAGGTACCTCTAAAAGGATATTTATACGTATATTATTCTTAGCTAGATAGATTAGATAATCTTTAAGAATATATAGTTAATCGATAGGGTGCAATCTGCACTGTTAGAGCCTAATTGAATCTTTCCCTGTCTCAGCCGCAGCTGAGGCACAAATACCATATCCCCTTACGAGAATGCATTATAGATCACTATCTTTACCTCTCATTCGCTGCGAATGTGACGAGTTGGATTCGAGGCATCTGCAGATGCTATCACACCTGAGACATTCAACGAATGAGCCGATCCCGTGAGCTGCTAATGCAGGTTATCTTGCATACTGTTGTAATAAAAGCGACATGTCAAATTTGCCTGGTATTTGCTTTCAAATGCTTTCACGGCCGCCCTGGGTATTTCAGATCCAATCCTCGACATTTTCGACCTCATCTCCCCACGGTGTGATACATTGCCACCAGGAGAATTACAAAGATCCAGCACGACCTTGAATCCAGCGATGTCGTTAGCAGCATCCCGCAACAGTCTACCACGCACAGGCGTCGCCGCGCTCCTAGCAAGACTGAAGACACCAGGAGAAATACAGCTGCCCAATGGTGCAATAGTACCTATCGGCATGGGCGACCCGGTTTATCGAGTCATCTTCCGCTCGGAGCGTGCCCTGCGCACACCAATGACGGAAATGGGTGTTGGTCGAGCCTATTTAGCCGGTGATATCGAGGTCGAGGGTGATTTCGGGGCCCTGTTCAATGCCCGCCAGAATTTACAGGAGAAAGTGCCCCTGCGACAGAAATTCCAGTTCGTATATGACTTTCTCCGAACCGCGACCAAGATGAACGCCGAGGCTATCGGCGATCACTATGGGCTCGATGATGGATTCTATCTCACGTTTCTTGACAAGCGGTTCCGGTTTTATTCGCAGGGTCTGTTCCAGCGACCTGACGAGACAATCGAAGAGGCCTCCGAGCACAAAATGGAGACCGTGTTTGCTGCGCTCGATCTGAAACCAGGCATGAGGCTTCTTGATATTGGTGGTGGCTGGGGTGGTGTAACACAGTATTGTGGTGCTCGAGGCGTGCATGTCACGACGTTGACGCTCGCAGCCAATGGCGCTCGTTATATCCAACGTGTTATAGAGGAGAAGAATCTCCCTGGTCAAGTCTTCTTGCAAGACTTCCTTGACCATGAACCAGAGAAGCCATACGACCATGTTATCAACTTGGGTTTGATAGAGCATATCCCCAATTACCGTCGTTTCGCACGCAGGATGTGGGACGTGCTGAAGCCTGGTGGTCGCATGTATCTTGACGGCTCGGCGGCTGTTGAGAAGTTCGCTGTTAGCTCTTTTACAAGAGACTATATTTGGCGTGGGACACACACTTTCATGACTCTTCAGGATGTTCTTGCTGAGTTTTTATACCATGGGTTTGCGGTGTTGGATGTTGTCAATGAGACTCGGGACTACGAGCTCACAATGCTGGAATGGGCAAAGCGTCTAGACTTGGCTAAAGACGATCTTATCGCGGGCTGGGGAGAGCAGAACTATCGTGTCTTTCGCTTGTTCTTGTGGGGTGGTACACATGCATTCAAGACCAATGCCTTACAGGCTTACCATTTAGTCGCGGAACGGACATCCTCCCCTGGTCCACGTCCATCTATTCCTCGCCGCTTCCGTCAGTTCTTGGGAAACCTGCGCTGATCTACTTCTGGCGAGTTTGGGGTCAATTGTGGCTGCAATTAGAGAGAAACATCGTATCCCCTTTTACTGTACATGGTGCACAGTTGTCGGTATTCAAGTCACTTGGCATATCCATTTTTGATCTGAAAGTAACGATGTAGAAAGAGTAAAAACGCTTCACACTCTCGTCGCAATGTAGCAGTCCAACTGGCATATAACTACGCACGTCAACCCCCAGGCACCTTCTTTGCCTCTTCAGAAATATCCTTATGCTTCCTTTCTTCTTCCTCTCTTTTCAACCTGGCTCCAGAGGAGAAGGAGCTACAATGCTCGCTAGGACTGCAAGGGCAGCAATGGCCCGTATACCTCTTGAATCGGGAAGAAAATTCTGCTGGCAGATGAATCCCGGCGGAGGGATGTGGATGGTTCCGCCTATCTATTTTATAAGCACCTATGTGCTCGATTTCCTCTGCCACTCCTTGGCACTCTCTTTCCGTATTAGTGCTCAGCCCTTGCGGCTTTTCGCTCACTGAGTAGATCTGAGCACGCCCCTGAGCGCCCTGATCCACTCACTGAGCATGAGCTGAGTGTGGGCATGAGCGGCCTGAGTGAGCTACATCAATAAACTGCAACATGCTAGTGACATCACGTGTAATTCTTCTCCAGATCACCCCCATCGTCCCATCAGAAAAAGATTGGTGTCGTCAATACGACCGTTCGCTCTAGACATGTCGATCTCCCACTTCTGGCTTTGCTCCCAGGATCATTTCGTTGATTTGCTCCATAATGCTCATTCGGGCTTTGAACGTCTACTAGGGCGATGAGGGAGCTGGGCGAATTGCTTGGTTGGTTTACGATCTTGCCCTGTAACAAGACGAACTGAAGGAATTCATGCAGCAGAGTTAGATTTGAGCCCTCACTTCCTTGTGAACAGCTTCCAGCCATTTCTCTTTCTCAGCACAATTCATAGCACCAACCCAGCCATTGGGTATATAGCCAACATCAGCAGGAGTCAACTTTTGAGTGTCGACTGGCTCATCAGATAAGCCATGCGTTGATTCAAAGACTGAGAGAATAGCATCATTCATATCGGAAGGAAAGAGAGCGGTAGCCCCTGGATCCTGGATCCATGGTCGTACAGTGAGCTGTAGGTTGCCCGAGCATAGCACGGCTAGGCTTTTGAATCCGGGTAGATCGACGAAGAGGGGGCTGATTAGACTGAGAATCACTCCCCCCCCCCAAGATGACTGGGTCTCAGGCTGACTAGTCGTCTGCTGTTGATCGGGCTGAATTGATTCATGCATAAGATTTGGCAGCGACGAAGGGACTGGCATGTCCGGGTCTTGATGAGGCAGGTCGAGATCTTGTTGAACGGGATCTAGCAATAGATCATCCTGGGTACTCGGCTCCACGACAGCAGGGTCCTCCCTTAGGTCCTTCATCCCCACCTCCTTATGTGCCTCCACTCCATTGTCGTGACCATTGTTCGTTCGGTCGTAGCATTCGGGGGCGAAGTATTCGGGGGTCGGTGGATTAATAAAATCGAGAGGAAGATAGCGAGAGTCAGCAGTTGAGAACTGCTTACTAGCGTCCAAATCATTAGTAGATTTAGGAGTTGAGACTGCTGGAGTCTCATTGAAGGCGACACCTTTAAAAATGACGATCTTCTTAGTCGAAACGTTATAAACCTGGTAGTGACCACGCTAGTCGTATCCGAGAAAACGGCCCTTAGCTGAATGAGGGTGTAGTTTGGTTTAGCGACGCTCCTTTAGAATCATTTACTAGCATTAACAACTAGGCTGCACCAAAACCCACGAAACCCAAAGCCCCCCAGCCCAATCTATGGGCCCCCATTAAACCCATTAAAACTCATTAAATCGTTAAAACGTGACTCCCACATAACTACATAATTTACGCAGTTCTAGGTGGTTTTTTTGATATTTTGTATACATATGAAGCATCTGAATTTATATATTGCCAGCAATTTATAGACTAGCTATCTAGCGGCTAGTAGTGATATTACAATTATTATATATATAGAGGTAATTATATATACCGTGCGATCATCGCGTAATAATAGCCGGTAGGATGGCGTAATAGTAGAGCGCCATCTGGCATACCCCTAGTCGGAATAGGAGAATAGTAGGGCCTATTTTTCTGAAACCTAGGGGCCACGGTTTGAATCCTATTGCCGGCTCGAAATATTTACTAACCAACTATCCTATCCTCGTCACTAAGGAAACAACTATATAGTCCCCTAGGGAACCTTAACATCTGTACGGCCTATAGCCAAAAAATCATTCTACATCCATCTTATAGGTCGGAGAAGGACGGGCAGCCGAAAAGCCATTACGGTATATCATTCACAATAAAATGGAATGCTTTCTATGGTCACACGTTTTGTATATAATTCCATAGCTTAGCACGTCTCTATACCCCTCGGGAGGTCAAGGAGCGAGGTGGATAGGGTCATATAGCTCCGCTTTCGCTCCGCCAGACGTTAAACAATTCAACAACAACAACAAAATCGCGTAATAATAGAGATAAGCAAGAGGAAACGGTGAGCAGCAGTGGGAGGGTTGTTATGTTGGGGGGGCGGGTGGGGGACGATGACGCCCCTACGCCTGGTGGGAGAGCTGTCGTAGTCTCTCCATCTGAGCTTTTGTCGGGTTGGTGTCCATGGTAGCACCCACCCACTTGTCGATCCAGCTGGTACAAATTTCAACAATTTCAGCACGATCTTTAATCTTCTTAGAAGATGTGTTGGGGTTAGACTGGATTTTCCAGTCCTCCCATTTCTCAAGCGATCTGGTATTCGCGAGATAATCAAAGATCCGAATCAGCTCTTTGCTGGCTGAATCAAGCCCTCCACGGGCATGAAGAAACTCCCACCACACATTGTAGTGAGATTCAAAAGCCGGCTTCCACTGGTCCACCCTCGAGTCTGGCTGGTCAACCTCCCAGAGGATCACATCATAGTCGGCAAGGATGTTACCTCCGTGAGCAGCAGCGTTGCGCTGAGACCTTCTGGTGTTGCTGATAGGCTTCCCAGCCCATTTGTCGAGCACAATTGACCGCACCTCAATTGTATGTACATCGAACGTCCGCTCATATTTTATGAGGACTTTTTGGGCCTCTTCGAGGTCTTTGCTTTTAGCCTCCGCATTGTTCTGTGTGTCCTCGAGGCTCTTTTTCATATCTCGGATGTCTTTCCCTTGGGCCTCAGCCCTTTTCTGGAGATCTTGGACGGCCTGTGACAGAGTCTCAAGCGTTGCCAGAAGGGTCCTTCCCTCACTGTTCACCCATGCTTGGCGACTGTCGTCAAACACGACCGGGTCTGGTGACAATACTTGTCGCATGGTTGCAACTGAGTCTTCGCTCGTAAGCCCTGACAGAGTGTAATTGGCTTGGCCCTAGTCTAATTAGCGAATATGATACTGTTACTCAAATGTAGCGACTTGCCTCGGGTGGTAAATCTCGCTGCAATGCGGGGATCGACTGCGGTACAATCGGGCTGAGAGGATCACGGATAGTGGGTTTGTTTGTTGGGGTTGATGGAGGACGGGATTTCCGTCCTTTCTTTTGACGTTAGTGGTGTTATCAATGACGTGGGTGTACGATAAAAATAGCTTTGAGATTTGGGGATCCCAGCAGTTCTGCCGGGCGGCGACGGCAGAACGTAACTGCCATTGGTACATATAGTTACGACGCAGGACTTTAATTGGATATCCTGCTTTTGTAGACTTCTCGAGGAATAATCACGTGCTGGGCTCCATCAATAGGTTCCGGTACCTTGCAGTCATCCGTCCCTTGACCCACCACACCCCACTTAGCAACAAGTCCATTTCTGCCAATCACCATGCACCGTCGCAAACAAGCTAGGACCGACGAGTCGGAATATTCTATTACTGAATCGATCAAGGATCTTGCACTTACTAGTTTTCAGTTGGCCAAGGATAGCTTCTTTTCCCCAGAGGAAACTGTTAATAGAAACGACGTTAAATTTATCCTCGGAAGCTCGCCTTTATTAACTCAAATACCGCGGGCAGATAAGATTATAGGAGATGAGAGTAGTCGCTAGGAGATCGATTTGATTTTTATCACCGGCCAATTAGCATATGGCTCATTGATTTCAATCAGTAAGTATAATTCCCATTTATTGCTTAACATTACTAAGATGTCGATAGGTGCTCTAAATTTGAATAGACCGATACGGGACTCAAGCAAATCGTGGACGCGTTCACCTAGAATGACCTATACTACCTATCTCCAGATTTGATGAATGCTAAGGATAAGAAGCTTTGGTCTGAGTTTAGCAAGCGGTACTTTGAGCTTAGCCGTTTGCCCACTACGAGCACAATGCCTGGGCGTTTTGTTGCCGAGATTGAGGACCTGGGACGGAAGGGAATGTTGGGGGGTTGTTCTGATTCTGAGCAGGGACTAAGTAGCTGGAACTGCGTTGCTTCAATAAATAAGGTGGAATTTGCGAATACCATACTTTTTCAGTCTCCTCTAGAACCTGGTCACATCTCTGCCGTAGGTTTTCTAGGTATAAATACCTATCCCTTCCTCTTTCCTTTCCTTTCCTTTCCTTTCTCTCTCCCCTCTCTGCGCTACCCCTCCGTCTTTTTCTTTCAGCGCATAGCAGAAGCCCCTCCAACAACCCGTTTCTAAGTGAGATTCATCCATATGATTACCTTTTTGATACTATCAAACACTAATAACCCCATAGAATCAAACGTCAATCCACCTCTTCTTTCGCCTCTTCTCTTCCATTCCCGGCAAGATGAACGAGTAAGACCCTACTCCATTCCTGTGAGAGCTACATTAATACCTCGAGCAGAGCACCTGCCGTCCCCATCATCGTTCAGAGCGACATGGAACTCCCACCAGGTGGATGGGCCGAGTACGCTATCTCTCTTCCATGGGTTGCCGCGAGACGGCACCCACGTCCGAACCGACCTGTTCGCAATCCTCCGTGGCCATGGACTTTAACGCGAGCTGGTGGTGAGAACGACCATCTCCTGGAATGCGCGCCGCTTTGATATGGAAATCGGAGAGACCAGCATCGCGCAGAGGCGGTCTTGATTTTTGTGACCGGAAACTTGATGGACGTCCCGTGCACCTATTGCCAAGAGGGCAGGGGGAAATTCCCCTTGTGCGTTCGAAGCCGGGAGCATGCGCTAACTGCTGGTGGCCAACTCCTGCTCGCATATGCTCACTGGAATTCACTACCAGGGCGCTTACCGCTAGTGCGGCGTTCTTCCAATCCTCCTCCCAAGTCTTGAATGGACCACAAGTCCGTCGTGCCCTCCGCGAGCACCATCCAAGAGATCTTCGCCGCCTTCAGAATAAGATGGACGAAGTCAAGCAATTCCTTGCGAGCTTCCAGTAAGGGCACTCTGAAACCAATCAGTGACTGATGTTAAGGCGGATTTCTCCTCCTTCCACCCAGTAATGATAACCGCAATTCCATCTTCTGCTCTTCTTTTTCTTTTTCTTGATCTTTCATAGCCTGCCATACTGAATAAACTAGAGATATGAGAGTACGAGACACCGGCACCCTGCACGTCTCGAACACCCCGACCGAGCACATATCCACACTAGCGAGATCTGTCGATCGATCCCCGCGGATTTGGCAAACAGACACAAATAATTCCCGATGAGGAAATGCCGATGGGGCGTACTGAAAGTCGTAAGTTGGTTCCAGCGGCAATACCGCGTTTCGAGACGACAAAGTCATATTCCAAACAGGCCGGGATGGCTGGCGGAGTCCAATGGGGACCAGAAGCTCATCTCTCAGGTGAGCACCAGATTCATCCTGTTGTGCCTCCACATGGCTGCCAAGTTCTTCCCCCCACCCACCCCAAAACCCGGTTCAGTGTTAATTGGCTCGAATAGCACAAAGGCCTTGAATTGTGGGATAGGCTCAATGATCGTACGCGGATCGTCGGGAAGGCTCCGGAGCCAAAGAGATTGCATTTCGGGGGTGCGTCATCGACAGTCGCAGTGCGCGAAGTGGGCCAACTTGGCCGATGATCCCTCTCGAACAATGTTCGTCTTTTTTCCCTTCTACACTACATTTTTTTCTCCATCAGGTATAATTTACAACCAGCCTCATACCGTCCAGGTCTTGTTCATGCATCCTCTGGATTGCCCCCAGTTCTTTTTCCGATTTTTTTTCTGTCTCTTCCCAATCTTCTCCGACTCTCCTCCCGGTCTCCTCGCAACCAGCAGGGTCCGGGCCTCGCAGGGCTCGCAGAATGGATATCTCTAGCGTCATTTCCAGGTCACATGGTGTTCGCTACCGCTGTCCATGCATTGTTTGGATGGATTGAGATGGTTCTTGTAAGACCCGATTGAAATATATGTTCATTGTAATGTCCCTGTTGGATTGATCTTCGAATGCACCCAACCCCTTCGGCTTCCTCCATGACGGCCTTTGCCAGCCCGCACTTTTCGGCAGTGATATCCCTAAGGACTTCGCCCCACTCAGCGCAGACTTACCGTACCTGGGTTTGTTGCCTGCATTTTCAGCAGGTTCTTCCCTTGGATAAATATATGCCCGAATGATAGAATGCGAGAAGATGAGGCGTTGTGTGCAAGATCGAAGAAGTTGAACCAAGGAATTGAGGTTACTGATATACTGAGGCTTTTGAGAAGGCTCCTCTCACTTGGTGGACGGCAACAGTGGCGATTTTGTGCTAGCTCATGACCTTTTTTAAGGGAGGTTTACACTGCTGTAGCGGCACAAGAAGTAAGACCAATCTCAGTCAAGCATGGTATCTTGGATTGTATTTACACATAGGTTCGTATACTGGATATGGAGACCCGTCAGATTCTTGGAGATCATCAGGTCATCAGGTCTATCTCAGCGTTCGATCTTGACTTTTTCGTCTTGCTCCATTTCGAATTCCTTTTAGCTGGCTCCACACTCTACCGGGTCAAATTCGTGGTGTTAATCTGCCACAGAAATCCGAGAGTTGACCGGACCCGCGTCTAGGGCTACCAAGTGCTGTGGGCCATACGAGTTTGCAAGGTAGGAGGCAGCGTCCAAAACAGCGCGTCTATCAACCTTCTAGTTATTCTTCCCAGCGACACGTACAGCGTTTGCGTGAATAAATTCTCCCACTTTCGATCAACAAACGTGTGTCCGAATCCGTATAATTGCTTGTCAGATTTGGCTTGATATACTGACAATGCCATGTTCAGTCCAGCCGCGCACCTCAGACAACCAATTCTCCACAGGCCTCACGTCCCAGTTTTGCTTCGGCGTATTGATAATTTCTCTCGATGCTCCACCCCGTGAGTCGAAGTCTTGAACGCATTCGCCTTTTACACGCGTTATTGAAAAATTGCTCTCTCCAGGACGACTCTCCAATGAGTCAAATACGCGCACGAAAGACCATCCGACAACCCCTCCCCCCGTTACTTCGAAATCGCCACTACTCCACTTCCTCAGCCTTGTCGCCCACCAAGTACACTGGGCCCCCACAGGAATGGGCGGGCTTCCTGCGGGAAGTAGAATCTTTCGATCACAGCCAACAATGGTCTCAACAGAGTGTGGCCTACAATCTCCAGTCTTGTGCCCTCAAACGAGGAGAGGGTTTATGTCGGAGATGAACACGGCGTACAAGGACGCTTCAGTGTCAAGTCCCACAATGGATGTGCACTTGATTAGCAATCCACCGAAGTCAAAAGGTGAGGAAGGTCCAACCTTCGAATTTCAAGTCTTATATGTAATTTTGCTGTGATATAGACGAAAATATTTCCTAGAAAATGATTCCTAAGCCGGGGAGTTTCTTTCTTGTTACCGTCCCCTTCGGGGGAATTAATAATCGACGTGCTCATTTTAAGGTTGTGGATGAGAACATGACGGAAAAGTATAAATTGGGTGGAATGCCCGAACCATGGCCTATTGCATACCTTCATTCGTTTAACTGCTTTCTCAATAATCAAAATGACCTGTAAGACACAAGTTCTTATTCTGGGTGCAACCGGATACATGTATGTGAAGTCTACTGTTGTTTCCGACCAGAAAGTTTGTTACAATGGTGAGCTAACAAAAGTTTTATTGCAGCGGGGGCTCAATTCTCGCTGAGTTACTGCGATCTCCGGAGGCTTCCAAATTGAGCATTTCCGCACTGATCCGTCACTCAGAACAGGCGGCCAAGCTCGACTCTCTAGGGGTGAAGCCGATCCTGTTTGATGGCTTGGATGACCTGGAGGCTTGCATAAATGCAGCTTCTCAAAACGATCGTACTGATATTCTATGTCTTTCGAAATCGCTTCTTCGTCCGCTGACATTGTCTTCCCAGTTGTGATCAACGCGGCATCTGCGTCCCATGACAGTTCCGCTAAGGCACTGGTCGAAGGTTTAGGTCTTAGACAGAAGGCCACGGGCAAGGAATCTTATCTCATTCATGTGAGGACGTCTATATCGGGATGCAGACTTAAGGACGGCAGGAGCTGATGGAAAGTTTAGACTTCGGGCACCTCAATTATGGGTGATCATCCCTACACAGGAACGCCACAGGACCAGAAAGTCTGGTCTGATGAGAAGGACAACATATTCGAAATGGAGAAGAACCACCCTGAGCGCTACGGACAACGCGTCACCGATGTTACGGTTGTTGAGACGGGGTTGAGCCATGGTGTCAAAACGTACATTGTCGTCCCTCCTACCATCTGTACGTTGAACCAATGCTACTAAAATTGATTCCTTATGCTAACACCCGGCAGACGGAAAGGGCGATGGTCCATTTGCGACATTGAGTCAACAGGTGCCTAACCTTGCGCGTTTGGCCCGGAAGCGCGGATTTGCTGGTGTGATTGAAACTGGCAAGGGCGTACGTATGATATCCATGTTGGCTCTGCCTACTTACTGACGCAGTGCAAATTCATAGATTTGGAATCATGTTCACATCGCCGATCTTTCTGCTTTCTATGGTTTGCTCTTCCGTGCTGTTATCGAGCAAAAGACATGGCTTCCCTCCGGCCCAGAGGCTGTGTTCTTCGTTGAAAGTGGTGAGCATACATGGCTCCAGGTTAGCCAGGGTATTGCCGATGCCATGTACAAGACCGGTCTACTGGCGACGAATGAAGTCAAGTCAATCAGCCTCGAAGAAGCAGCTGCGGGAATTACTGGAGGCAATGAGAGTCTTGCAGAGATCGCCCTCGCATCAAAGTAAGTAAACCCTTTCATAATGGAATAATAAGCTAATATCTCGTGCAGTTCGAGAGCTCGGGCTGACTTTGCTCGGAACCGACTTGGTTGGAATACGCCCCGGGGATTGGAGGACTTTTTGAACCACTTCGATGCCGAAGTAGCAGCTATGCTTGGAGAGCTGAGAGGTTAGATTATTAGGTGAATTATTTCAGTATCTACTTGTTGTCAGCTATAGGTAAAGTGAGAGAAGTAGATTTCGAAAGAACATCTCAGCGACTCATTATATTGCTTGTTGGTCTGAACAAGCAGGTTCAATATCCCAAACCCCAATTCATTCCACCACTTCATTGGCTCGTTGAAATGAGGCCACCACGTTTTGGCTTGTTTGTCAGGCTCCATATAACTAGCTATGTACTAGAGAATCCATCCTCCCTCTTCTCTTTCACTCTCACTCTCACTCTGCTCAAAATCAAAATCAAAATCAGACCATTTCATCTTAGCACCGATCAGACGAAAGCCCGTGGGAGACAGCTGGATATTCAGTACACGAATCTATTCATTTTGGCAGAGGGGACAGCCCTTACCCTGACGTGAATATGGGTATGATCATTCAGTCGCGTCAATGTTAACAAACGGCTAACGAAACTGGCAAAGGCGTATATGGCGATCAGATCGACGGCGAGCTTACCGACCTGCATGAGATACAGGCAGAGCCACCAATCAACGGTGCTATGGCTCTAATAACTCAAAGCTGTTCAAACCTTGGGGGCTTTTTGACACGGTATATTTTGACGACAACGCCCATCGAATCATCTCGTGCCAAAGAACAGAAATAAAACGTCTGGACAGATGATATTGCCGTTTGTAAGTCCAGCCCCAGATCACTATATAAGCTTAAACTGACCACTAGCATCTCTTTGGTATAGGGGCGGGAACGAAGAAACCCGGGCGAGAGCCCTCATCCGTTGACCCGAACAATGTATCTCCACACAAAATGAAGAAGCAAAAGCTTAGGTCGGAAAGTCACCAGTCACTAGGTGAAACATCAGCACAACATTATACATCCGAAGACAAGACTGATTCGCTGTTGCTTAGCGAGACCGTGGAGATTACTAGCCGGAGCGAAGAGAAGTGGGAGGTTCGATTTTCCTATCTAATGATGTCCGATGGGCGGAGAGAGCAGCCTCAATTTCCATCCGAATAGACCATGAGCATGCGGACTACATCGTTTTGCCACCTTTTCATGTGCTGGGAACAGGAAGAAACCCGTTGTTCGTTCTACGTTCCTAGCAAGCACAGTCGTCTAAGGATTTGAGCACCGCTAAGGAATTTCTGTTCGCGGCCACCGTCCCACTCGCTTCTGCTAAGGATCCGTACACCGCAATTCGTGGGGCCTCCGTGGACGTCCGACGCATCAGCGACAACTTACATGGCTTGAGTACCGCCTTACTTACCAACGACAGCGCCCACGCCGCTGAGAGTTACTGGAAAGCGACAACACGTCTCACTGAACTCGCCGAACTCCTCGATAAACAATTGCTCGAAAGCCACCAACAGGTGGATCGCCTGAAGGAACTCACTCACCACTGGACTTGAGAAAGTTGTCGAGGAGGAAAATATGGCTATCGCAAAGCGTCAGCAGAAGCAGAAGCCCTGTGCGCCACATAAGAGCAGAAACGTCTGACCTCATCTTGCTCGAGATGTCTTTGTGGCAGATACGAAAAGTGCTGCGTCTCTCCAATATGTACCTTAAGACTATTCAAGCTCTACATTTCTTTGCCTCCTGTTTTCCCAATTTTTGAATTAGCACCGCTCTCTAACTAACTAGGTAGTTAGTTAGAGGACTATGTAGTTATACCACCCCATACAGTATGAGAGCGTTGCTAAGGGACTTCTAAGCGAAGCAACCACCGCTCTTGCTTTGGCCGAGAAATCCTTGCGTGAAAAGCATGAGATCGCCGTCCACGCACGACACAATCGAGATGCCATACACGCAATGGATGCAAACTTGGGTTGGCTTCAGCTTCAGAGCCAATGGTTCAACACATTCATTTCGCACCAGTGGATTGCGACCCAAATTTCATATATGCAAGCAGGACCTGGATCAAATCTAGAGAAGACTGAACATGTTAAAGTGAGCAATGAAACAGGCGTTCAGAGCCGATTCGAAGACCGCATTGGTCAAGTCCTAAACCTAGGCCACCCTCTGATTACGCCCGCCGGCCCACCGTGACTCTAGAGGTTGCTGTCTCCGAGACTACCGATTGCAAGGAACCTATTGACTTTGTATTTGGGGATGCCAAGTGCGAATATACGAACTGCTCTACCGGCCGCAACCTTTGTGATCATGACCAACTCCGGCATTACCAGCACTGCTGTGGCATTTTTGTTCTCTCACATATCCGACAGACTGATTCGAGAGAGGTCTTGTGTGACACGGTATGGCTTATCTCTAAAGGCTTGTTGGCTTGGATGGACAAGAATCCCATGCAATATATGTGTATGGTATTGTCTCGGTTTAACATTTGATGCATATAGAAGTATCGTCGTTTTCATAACTAACCACTTAGCTTAACTTTTACAAATAACAAGCGAAGCGAATAAATGGGGAAGGAATTCATGAGACATAGTACCAATAGACCGAAACCTGATTCACCTCGTTTTCTATGCATGTGTATATTCAATAAATCGTTATGTACAAGTCGTCAATCATGCATGGATAGTATCAATCCAGCCCCCAGCCGCGTACGCGTCGGAACACGTATGCTCGGTCATTGCGAAGGCCGAACTCGCCCCAGTCGTCCGTCAGTCTGTTGTAACTCCAGAAACCCTTCCATGCTAGCTTAGTGTTTTTGGATGGGTTGGGAGGAGCCGGCCCAACTTGAGCGGATTTCGGTACGGTCGAGGAGCGTAGAGATAAATGCATCGTGTAAACATACTTGGGATCTACACCCTCTGTTTCAATGAGGAGATCCCGCTCGTCGGAAAGCAGCGATTTCTGGTCCGACGCTGAGCCGGGCTTCCAGATTTCGGCGGGGGGTTCGGAAGTTTCAGATGTGTCAACGGGTGAAGCCAAATGCCATCGGCCCCGAAGGCCGTGCTTCAATGTATTCATGGCGACAGGTGGCACGGAATCAGTTGCTCCAGAGAGGGTGTGACCCGCATCAGAGGCATGCCGTTGATGCTTCCGGTGTGCTGGGGTGCGTGCCGCCATCACATTTTCCTTGCTGATGTGAGGAACCACATCGACTGGCTCCGTTGAGGTGAGCAGCGAGATTACCGAGCCATCGGGGTAGAACCGCAAATAGCGGTAGTAAGTCACGATATGGATGGGACTGTTCCACGACAAATTCGAGTACGCAGATGCAGCACCAGCTCGAGTGTAGTTGACTGTGCTAATGTAGATGCCCGTGAAACGAATCCGAGGAAGGGTCTGGAACACTTGGCTCCACGAAGACAGCGGCGGCGGGATTTCTACAGGCTCGCCCTTGGGAAATGGAGTGTATCGCGGTGCTAGGGTGTAGATCGGTTCCCCATGCAGGTCGCATGCAAAGTCGTAGTGCATTCCCTGGAAGCCAAATTCCCGGCTTTGACAGATTCGTCTCCATATGTGCTGCTCATGGGCGAAATGGTAGGCCATCCGCTTACAGACCAATGCCGTCCGACCGAAGGCAGATGGGTCATCCATTGCCACATGTCGCAGAATCTCAACTAGCACTTCCGATGGCACAGTGGCAATTGGGCACGGGGGCGGTGGTGTGTTTTCGACTATGGGCTCTTGCGGTGATATTGGCACGTGTGCAAACGACGCGATGAGTTCAGGTGTCGGCAGAGTCTGGCTCTCTTCGGGCTGCTGGGTCACAGTGGCAGGCGTAGCGAGCGCGGGCTGATTTGGCTTTTTCCATACATGGGCATAGTGCTTATTCCGGTAGGACTTATCGACAGACGAATCTAGCTGCACGGAAATGAGCATTAGCATCGTAATTGCTATTCGCAGCGATCAGAACTCACCCTATATGCCTTTCGGTAGTGTGAAAGACTGTCACCCAGGTTGCCTTCGGCCTCCTTCTCGACCGCTCGTTCAAAGTGCTCCAATGCAGACGTTGGTTCTGCTACCTCTCGACGTGAGAAGTCATCTTCGGATGGTCTCACGCTCAGCTGCCCGACTTGTTGGGCGAGCTCATCAGGATCGAAGGAAGCCAATGGGGGACCCTCCTCCTCGATCGCTTTACGGTGAGAGGCCTCATGGCGTGTGGGCGGAAGACGGGCCGGTGGCGGGGCAGTCGCAGTCACAGTCGGAGGAGCAGGAGCAGGAGGGCCTGCCGTTGGTTTTGACCGACGAGTTACCTCCTCGCGCCACTGTCGGCGGAACGACTCAAGTTCATCGTTGTCGTCCATGGCGAGGTGGTTGTCGGAGGAGCGGCGTTCTCGTCCAAACATTTCTCACTAAGGCCATGACACACGCCGACCTCGGGAGGCTTGGCATCCCCAGCTTTTTCATGCTATGACCTCACATGGGGACTCGGCTTTATATTTTACAGTCTTCTTCGAGTCGTATCACTGTCTATCCTTTTAACACCAGGTATTGGTTTCAAGATCAATTCGCGTATCATTCATTCGCCCGCTCCCTTGCCCCCTGCACAAGCTTTCGCCTCATGCACACCCTAGCCTCTCTGTCTATGCATTACAAGTCCTAACAGTTGTTTTCTCGAGTTATGGCTGAACAAGATGGTCCCAAGAGGTGCACGTCTCTTAGGGTGGAAATTACCCGACTGGTCTACTGCCTTCGGGAAGGGCTAAGCCGGGGTGGGAGCCTCGAGCCTCGCAACCTCGACAATTGACTGATCGGCATATCGACACCACTATGGGGCACAGCACAAACTTTGAGCCTAAGCGGAGACCTAGAACAGTTGAACATGCTGCTCGAAAATGGGGCGAAAATTGTTGGTCTTGGGGCAAGTCTGGGTGGACATCACATATCGTTCATAAGCTTTTGGAGTACCATTCGGAGTCTGGACACCCTGACCCCAACGCATAGTCTGCCCATAAGGGAGGTTAAGTCATATTGATGAACCCCCTCCTATTATCCCGGCCGCTGAGGGGCGAAATTTCGCGATATCCGGTGATTTGGACATCTTCTGGGCGCTCGCGCATCACGTAGAGACCTCAGAAGAACGGTGTCTGTTGTCAAGTCCAACGTAAGGTGGGAACAAAAAGGTATCTATCTCACGACTCTCGGCCAACCTGTGGAGGGTCATAGAAAAGTAGCAGCGCTATAACCGAAGGGGAGACCAAGTTATACTACCTAATCATATTCACCATTCATCATCTGTCTCTCTCTCCCACAGATCCTCATCGTTGGTCGTTGGCTGCTAGCGGTGCTCGCGTTTTTCGATGACTTCGTCTATCCCCTCGATATATGACAATCCGGGGCAATTTGGTATCCTTTTCAGCGAGTAATTTCTCCAATTTCCTATCAAACACATATTCCAGAAGACCCTTAACCTGCGGTTTTATCCCCTTTTCGTATCCATAGATACAAAGCGCTTCCAAGTTTGGTGGGAGACTATCCACAATAGCAAATGATGCATCGTCCACCCGATCGGCACGGATTCCTCGCCACAGGTAGTAGAGTGTATGGATTCCGAGACTCAGATTCTTCAACTTCCTAAGCCCACGAAGAGAGCAAGGCGACGATGAACACCCTGTCCCAGCAGGAGGTCTTGCAGTTCATCTGCCCATTCTTCTCCAAGAGTAGGGTCGAATGTCCGCGGCAGTGGAGTTTCGGCCTTGTTATCCAAATCCAGATGCACCAACGAATCCGCGTGCAAGAGGAGCGCCCGGAAGACGCCCTCCGGGCTGAACATGCTTGACATGCCATCTGGCGAGCCTCGGCCACTGACCGCATACATAAACTCTTCCAGCCGTTTGGCCGACTCAATGACCGGAACCAGCTGGTGATAATCTATATTGGAGTTCCGAATGGTAATGCTGGTATAATTTGCGGATCGGGGTGGCGGCACGATACTCGGCATCTGCGTGCTCATAATAGCGTCGACTCGGACGGATTCCACTGCGGGGAGCCGGCGCACCAGGTTGAGGCTGCCGTGCAGATCATAGGGCTGGTAATAGTACCATCGATCGATTCTTGTATCGGGATCGACAAGAAATCGGACCTGACGAAGATGATGTAGGAATGGCAGGGTCTCCTGCGGGCTACTGTTCGCCTGGTCTAAGAAATGCTTGAAGAAATAATCCCTTCCCTAGAGTGGAATTCCATTGGCTTGGGCCGTTAGTTTTGAGATTTCGATAGTCCCTGGCCGACAGGGCAGAAACTCAACGATTCTAATAGTGGCGAAACGCTGACTAGTAATGCTGCCAATGCCTGGGCCAGGAACGGGCGGGGCTCGTGGGTCATTATGGCTAATCGAAGTCACAATCGAGTATTTTTCTTTTGACAATGTGCCAGCGAAGTCGTTGGACAGAGAAAGAGGAAGGGAAAGGCAAGCTTACTCCATGCTAGCCGGACTCTGTAGTAAGATATTGAGCACCTTCTCCTGTTCTTCCGGGCAATCAAAGCCGGCATATCTGATCGCCGCAGTCAGGAGGACCTGATCCTTTAGTCGGAGGGACAGTTTCGGCGGTTTAACTGTGTATGACTGCACAAATCCATAATCTAGCGATGGGGATCGGTTCAGCTCTATGTAGCGAACATAACCCCCCATACCGAGGGGTTTTGAGGATCGATCGCAGCATTTTGAAAGCCACTGCCAAATCCAGGGTCTCTCGGATTTTCACGCGGCGGTATTTGCGCCGAGTGGACATGTCACAAAGCCGATGCCATCGGTGGCATTGTAGAGACAGCGCTGCTGCATCAGTATGACATGGCAGGTAAGAGAGGATCCGCAGGAGAGTTTCTTCTGGAAGGGATTGGAGAGACATATTTAATACTGGGAAAGTCCAGTAATATCAAACAATGCAGTCTCTCGTCGAGGATAGGGAAAAGAGAGAGAGCACGTGCAGTGACGGAATGTTGAGGGCCAATAGAGGCCGATTCGGGTGTTCCGTTGGGAGCATTACGGCTCTTGTATAGACATGATCTGTTTTCGCCGGCTTTGCTGCCTGGAACTGAGGCTGGCCTAGAGTGGGATGGCGTATTGCCTGTGGACCCGTCGGCTGAAGGTACGTCGGCACCTACTTCTACCTACCTCAATATATAACAGGACGACAGCAGATACCTAAATTTGTATATAAACACCTAACAAAATTAAGTCACTTTCCTCTGATCTCTATAGGACTAAATCGAATCAACCCATGATCCAATTCTGGTTTACATACATTAACCTGCCTTCTTCGTGCCCCTTCCTCTACCAATATTTTCACCCATTTCACCACCATACCAACCACTAAGGACCAGCACCAAGCCATACACCGAGCTAGGCATCAAGTCCCGAGACGTGGACGTGGGCGAAAACGCGGGTGTAGACGAGTAGGTTAACCTGGGAATCAGGCAGAATATACGACTTTTTCTGATCAAAATGCTTGATTTTTCACTATATAAAGGTTGTCCTGGGCGGTGGGATGTGGTTTTGCTGGGTTCTGGTGAGGTCTACAATAATAGAACAGACTTGGAAGTGAACATTCTAAATTTACTCAAGCCTCGCAGGAACCAGCTTCTTTCAGTTAGACGGCTGAATACGAATTGTTAGATTATGATGAGCGATAACAAACTTTGGGATCGCTCGTTATCTTCAAATGGGCATACGATCGCTGAACGAACAGCCCCAAAAAGTGGAGCCGAAGGCCGACCTGCATAAAAACACGAACGTTGCCGCGTCTGACCGTCTGCCCCTGCCAAGATTCGGGGCATTCGGCCCTATTATTGGCGACAAAAGTATGGATTTGATCTCGCCAAGAATGGATTGGCATGCCATGAGTTGGGTGAAGTCCACTAGGGAAATATCCTCAGCCGTTTGAAGAGGACGATCACTACTCCGTAATGGGAAGGAATATGACTGCCCAGGTGCGACTTCACAAGATAAGTAAAAGCCTGGAAAGCCGCAACATGATTTCTTGAGGAGAACCAGATCCCTACCGGCTCCCACTCGTGGCTGGTCCTTAGAAACCGTTGTATCAGTTCATCTTCGCACTCATAATGGTGAATATTCGGCAATTCTGGCTGTCTTCCAGCCTGATCCTGTCCCTTCTCGCTCAGCAAGGGTTGTCTATGGTCTTTGAAGAGACGGTGGCCCCTGATACCGTTAACCCCATTCACGAGAGAGGAGACCCATCGAACGAAGATGCTGCCTATTCGGTTTTTGATCGACTGAGCAAAGACTCTTACTACTGGAGCGGTATAGTTTCTTTCCCTTCGATAGACAATGTTCCTCGAGTCATGGCACGATAACTAACATTCCACAACAGCTTCTCAAAATGGTCATAAGACGCTGGCGAACCTCACAGTCGACGTCGGCGACGACGAAGCAAATATCGTCTCCATGGAGAAGTTTCGACACCTGCTGAAATCCGTTGACTGTACCGATAACGGCATGGTCGTGGAGTTTGAAGATACTCGTGCGTTCGGATACACTCAGCGTGGATGGCAGTGGGTCAATGATGACGATGATCGTAAATTGGTCCTTGTGATGGGCACTAAGCAGTGTGGCTGGAACTCTCACAGGACGCCATTTATTGTCTCGTCAATTGTGTTCGACAAGCCATCACTAAAGGCCAAGTTGAGCGGCGTGGCGTCGGATTGGAAAAGGCTCTTCCGTAACTACGAGGTCACGGTGGGCAAGGCTCCAGAATCATCCACAAGCAGGCGAGACTGGGACTCGGATGCTTCCCTAAGCTTCAACCACAAAATACCTCTCAGCCAATCGATACCTATTCCCGGCGGGGATCTCTCCGTGGACATTTCATGTGAGGGGTGTGAAACAAAAGGATCGTTCGATTTTGGTGTCCATATCAAGACAACCTATGGCACCCCAGAGTCTGCCTCGATAACACTCTCGCCCAATGGCGTCTCTGCAAGCTTGACGCCACGCCTAGGACTGAGTGGGAACATGACAAATGAGATCACCGACGAGTTCGAGCTCATAAAGATCCCTGTCCAGGGCATCTCAATCCCAGGCGGTGTTCTTGAGCTTGGCCCGGAAATTGTCTTTAGCTTTGGGTATCAAATTGGCCCTGTCAAAGGCTCCGCAGGTATTACATCCGGTGTGACTCTCAGTCTAGAGGACTCCGCAGAGCTCGAAATTGATTTTCTGTCTCCGGACGTGTCCGCTGGCGGGTGGACTCCACAAGTTGAGACTCAGCCGATGAAGATCGATGCTAAGATCGAGGCGGGGGCTGAGATTTACACCAAAGCAGAGGTTCAATTCTCTGCGTCGATTCTTGGTATGTATGACAGTGCCAGCATGTTTTCGACGTACTAACATCGTCTAGACCAGGGCTATGAAGCCGGTGTCAATCTAAAACCCTACCTCGGAGCCAATATAGCAGTCTCTACCGGTAAGTCAATCCCTCAATATGAATCCAATGTACTAATGTCATCTAGACAAGGGCTTGGGAGTCGATGTAAATCTGGGAGCCGATCTTGGAGCTCATATTGCGGCTGGCGGTAAGTTAATTCTCAATAATGGGTTTGAGTATTCCCTGACGAAGTTAGGCACTAAGGCTTGCGTTACCCCGAGGGCTGGAGTCAGCCTTAACGTGGATATTGCGGAGGTTGATACACCTGAAGACCCCGTTCTGGAGAAGACAATTGCGGTATGTCAATCAGACCAGTGAATGGATCCGTGAAATCATCACTGACTTCTATACAGGAGGTCACTGCGCCAATGTCACCGTCTTGTTTCAATTTTGGCCCGGGCGGTTCCGTAAGCCTAGGGGCTGGCAAAAATAAGCCAACTTCAACCAGAAAGGCTCCTATTTCCTCGGTCAAATATACACCCACTCCTTCAACTACACAAGACACCCCGTCAAACCCCACCACCACCTCATCTTCGACACCACAACCATCGTCCACTACCCTGGCCCCGTCTCACCGCAGACGAAGCCACCTACGGTATCATGCGATGCGAGGACACTGAATACAAGAGAGTCTTCCTATAGTGACTACTGCCTCCAGCGCAGTATGTTATTGAAAATGCGGCAAGTTGCATTCAAAAAGAAGCACATACGCACCGACTAAACTTCGGTTCTTTTTTTCTTATATTTACTCTTCTCTGAACAGTTTACATTCACTTCGAACCTATTAATTACTTGATTACTCTTTCTTTTTTCATTCTCTTCCTTTCTGTCTCATTCATCCAAAAATCTACAATTATTACCATTTCTTTCAGGATCTTATCACCGAAGTATGTTCTATGTTTCCCTCTTACTCGTGGACTACGTTTGTTGTTAGGGCAGCATAGGGGAGGGCTGCACGACCAGCATGGAACCAACTCCAACAAGAATAGTTTCAATTCTAGAGGATAGCATAAACTAAAGAAAAACGAAGACGCGGCAGGTTAGATTAGCGAGGATATCTATTCCTACCTAAAGCCTAAGCCAAATGTGTCCTTAGGGTTGTTCACTGACTCCGATCCTACTAGTAGTATCTGGGCTGGGTTATAGTGGCTACGCACGGGCTCGATTTTTATACTGCAATTTCTATACCCGACACATCTACACATCTGTTGATGCCTATTAATCTATACAATATGGATACTGTCAACCCTTTAAAATCTACAACAATCTAAAAAACCCCACAGCATAAGGTCCACTATCGATCTTCCCTTTGGTCGAGCCGGAGTAGTCTGTTTTGCCTCATGTCCGACCTCGGAGATCAGATCAGATTGATAAGCCGTGAAAAAAAGAGGCCTGAAAAGAAACAGCCAGACCCGGTTGTCAGAGTCTGAAAGTCATTGAAGATAAATAACTAAAATCACGTCCCTTCCAGCCCCTCCAGTCACTCCAAATCTCTCCAAATCGCCAAAATCTCCCAACGCTTATCTCCGCCCACCGCCACCCGCGAAACCCCGAAAAACTTCCAAGGTTCCTTTTCCCAGTGACGCATCCTTTTTCTTCCAACTCGGGCGCAGAGAACTCGACATTATTTCCACATTGAATTAATTGAATGCCGCAAGCGGAATTTTCTTCAGGCCACGGCACTGGCCATCGGTTTAGCACAGACTCAAACGCCTCTCTAGGGACGTCATGGCCCGCACAGTTTGAAGATTCTACAATGGCCACCACATCAGGGACAGGATCTCCTCTCGCGCCCAAGGCCCCTGCCACAGCAGATAATATCACTCCCGGGCAGCGGATGGTGTCTGCGACCGCCGGCAATGTCTTGACCGGACTTTTAGGTGAGTCGGAAAAGCTCCCGACCCTAGGAACCCAGCACTAACAGCGCCAGTGACACCCTTGGATGTCGTACGAGTCCGTCTACAGTCACAATCCCAGGTCCACAACACTTCACCCTTTACCTCTCACACCACCCAAACCTTAAAAAACCTCCCTCCAAACCTCGGCATCACCTCCTGCTGCCGCGAAGTATTCTGGGTCGGAAACGATGCCCAGATGTGCATGCTAGGGCCTCAAGCGACCGCCGTTGGAACCCATCCACACACGGGGATCGATTGTGCGGTCGAAGAATCGCAGCGACGAACATTCACATCAACTATAGACGGGCTACGGAAGATCGCGCGCAATGAAGGGACTTTGACACTGTGGCGAGGGTTAAGCCCGACCCTGATGATGGGAATCCCGGCCAATGTCATCTATTTTGCTGGTTATGACTGGCTCCGCACCGATGATCGGAGTCCCATCAAGCGGCGGGTGTCTGAGGGCTATGCACCCTTGATAGCTGGATCCTTCGCTCGCGTCGCGGCTGCTGCAGCAACCAGCCCGCTGGAGATGTTTAGGACGCGTCTCCAGGCGACTCCTGGGACGGGAGCGGGACACTTTAAAGCTACTGTGCAGGATCTGTACCATATGACGCAGGCAAAGGGATATAGCTCGCTCTGGCGAGGGTTCACTCTTACTATGTGGCGCGATGTTCCTTTCTCCGGACTCTACTGGTGGGGATATGAGGAGGTGAGGAAGGCACTGATCGCGGCGCGCCAGAAGGCCCCTCATCTTGCGGGTTCTGACCACGAGGCTCAAGAGTCGAGTCTCCAGTCTTTCCTCGACAGCTTCATATCCGGGGGTGTTTCAGGGTCCTTAGCAGCACTTGTTACTACCCCGTTTGACGTCGGTAAGACGCGACAGCAAGTTTTCCGACATATGGACGACGTTCCTCTCACTGGCGCCGCCCCCCGCACGCCATTACCCCCCGGCATCTTGGCGCCAGAGCAACTATCCTTACCAAAATTCCTCTTGCACATCTTCCGTGAAGAAGGTACCGCCGGCCTATTCCGTGGTTGGACGGCACGATGTCTAAAAGTTGCCCCGGCCTGCGCCATCATGATCTCAACCTACGAGCTTGGAAAGCGCATGGCCCGAGAGGCCAACGAACGGCGACACTCTGACGCATAATCCCCCCTTTTGTACAATTATAATGCACATGTGTTGTCTCTCCGCTTTTTTTTGTTATGGCGTTTCTGATGATACCGCATGAGCCGAGTCATATAGAGTGGTGCATTAGCATTTTTTGAAATTTGGGTGTTTCTATGTATATACATTAATGGAAATCTCTCTTTGGACATATTAAATAATATAATGTAGCCCCAAGACATCGCTTTGACTCACAACACAGCCCAGGCTACGATCAGCGGGCAACTAGGGCGTCCGGGCGCGATCGCCCGGACCCCACGAAGTTGAGGCTGAAGTTCCCCCTGATTTGTGAGATTTAAGAATAGCCAGACTCCGATTTCCTTATTTTCTCCAGGTCTGTAATCGTTTCATGTTCAACTGGACTCGGCAATATGACTTCACGGCCACCCGTGACCGAGCAGACGCGCCCATGGTTTGAGCACGTTGCCGTTGCAAAAGATACTAATGTCGAGTAGGTCTATCTTTATTCTGCATGATTATGTTCATATAATAACTCACTTCTCAGCATTGTCGCTGTCCCACCTATCGGCGCCCAACATAGAAAGACATGGATAGCGCATGGCGAGCAATCTTCCTGGCTTGATACTGAACTACTACGGCGTATTCCTCGAGCGCGGGTCCTGCTGTATAACTATGGAGACCTGCGTGACGATAAAGTGGACACGTTGGGTGAACGACTATTGAACCAACTACGCAGTGAACGAAAACATGAGGTTTGTTATCCTTCTATTCTCGTACCCACGAATAAATTACTAACATTTTCGCCAGCCAACTCGACGTCCCATCTTTTTCATCTGCCACAGCACCGGTGGTCTTGTTGTTAAAGCAGCTCTAGCACTGACATCACGAGAGCCGAGCCAGTCCATCTTAACCAGCTGTCATGGCATCGCCTTCTTTGCAACTCCCCACCAAGGCTCGACTTATCTCTCCGCCGATGAGTATACTGCTAGTATTCGCCATCTCCTGCATTTGGAATATGAGGCTCCAGAGGCGCTTAGGAAGCAGTTGCGTCCCCGCCAAGAGCGGCTATGGCATCTATCCAACCAGTTCAAAACTCTTTCAGCCGATATGAGGGTCTGGTCATTTCTCGAAACTGTGGATTCAACTATGCATGTAATCGACGCTGAGACGAATAATATATTGGAGTTTCATGTTCCCATCACATCGATCCGGTCTGGTTTGTTGGATATTGAGCATGAAGAAGAACTTCCGATGGCAACAGACCATGCGGGGACGGCAACTTTCCACGGCCAGGAGTCTACGCGAGACAGATTTCTGCATGAGCTTGGTAATGCTGTTGACACTGCTGTTGAAATTTCAAAGCGCGAGGATACGCCGTTGGGCGTAGAACAGAAAGTCATGGTTCAAATTAATGGCTTCTTCGAGGATACTGCTCTGGGCCTCAGTGACGAAACGCCCCTCAAGCTGTGGTCAACCACGGTGTCTTTGGAAGACTACCTCTCTAAGGGTCCGTCGACTTGTCTTCGAGGGAGACTAGGCAGAGTTCAACCCAGTGGCTTGGATGATTCGTCAATCAGCAGTTTTGATAGTCCTCGCTCATCCTACGTTGCTCCTGTCTCCGATGTACATGGCCATCATCGCGACCACCATGATGAGACACCCAGGCCCCTACGAGCCCCTCTACCCTACAGGCAAAGCTTCGATGATCCATCTGGTCCTTCTCCGAAGATCCACATCACCGAAGCAGAAAGGGAGGGCTACTTGAATGACTCACCGAGTGAAAGTCCACCTCCGCCACAGGAGCAGAAACGAAAGAGCTCACTCACGAAGGCGCTAGGATTAATTCCATTAAAGCGAACCCACCGTCGGAGTGCTTCTGATAGCAGCTCCCAGGGTAGTATTGAACGGCCACCTTCGTAAGAAAGTCACACTCCGATGGTTGAGCCGAAACCCTAAGCTAATGGATGGTAGGAGCTCTTCTACATCGCAACCAGTGCAGTCTCCGTTCCTGGCAATACCCAAGTCTACTCGTGATCGTATCAACCAGAATGCCGATAGACCGGATATCCCTCGAGCAGTTCCACGTTTCGATCGACCTGAGGCTGATACTGAGAAACTGATGTGGATCCATGTGCCGTATACGCATACTGGTTGGGTATCCCAAGTCATCCGCCGAGCATGTCTGGATAGACATGAGCCTAATTTGTAGGGCATATTATATCCGCAAGATCTTGATATCCTCTCATGGTGCTGACTATCTTTCGCAGCGTTCGGAAATTTATAAATGACGAAAATTGGTACCGCCGGCTTAATAGAGCTCGTCATCTCGAGCCTCATGCTCGTTTCGTCAAACCCGCATGTCTTCACTCAAGACAAATGGATATTTTACAAAGTCCTTCTGATGCTTTGGAGGATCCTCAACTGGCTTTATATGTATGTTTCGACTCCCCGATATGCATATCAACGCTGACATATATTTATTTCAGGCTCCCTACGTTAGTACTTCTAATTAACTAGATATACTTCTTCCATACTTTGCTAACTCATACCAGCTCCACTGGGATACATACCGAAACTTGATTCAACGGCGAAAAGTAGTCGAAGACCGACTCAACCAAGGCCGATCCAGGCCCGTCCCAGGCCGAATCTCAAAAGCAAGCCTGGAAGCCCAACTTATCTGGACCTACCTCGGCTGCGAGCCTCCAGTGCACTTCCGCCGCACACTGGATCAATACGGGTATCCCAATTTGCGCTCGACTATGGCTCGTGACGACGACCAGATGCTCTGGAAACGCACTCGCAGACCGGCGCGCATTGACGAGCAGCTTAAACAGTATCTCCAGTCCGCACAGGATGATCCCGATACCGAAGAGAATGTTGGCGAGTTTATGGATGGCAATGTCCTGATGGTTGATCAGCTCTGGCTTTGGATTGTCGATGAGAAGACTGTTGTTACTTTCTTTCCGAAACAGGAGGCTACTACCTCTGAGGGAAAGCTTTTTGAACAATCTAACCTACATAGCAGCATTTATAACGAGTTAAATGGGGACCTCTCGCGTCGCTTTGAGACGGCCGGTGACTTGGCTGCTCTCATTATGCTGCATGCTGTCACTGTGCTTTTAGACAAGACTCTCCATCATGATCTGCAGGTGTTGCGGATCTTTGAGGAGTCAATTAGCATCTTGGTAAGATTTATCAATTCTATTCGCTCCTGGAGTGCCCTGTGTTAACGACCTTAGACCGAATCTGTCACCAAGTCTTTCAAGCGGTTCCGAAATAGAGGCTTCACCAACCGCCCAGCGGATCATGACCGCACCGCGGACGGGAAGATTATGACAGCCGCCCAGCAAGATTACAAAGAATTGCAGGTTGCTCGTCGAAACCGTGAAGATCTCTCCGTTCTCCTGGAGCTGCGCGACATCGAGGACGAGCTATCCACCATCCTAAAGCTACTCGATCAACAAGACACCGTTATCAAAAGTATGGTCAAATACTTTGACCGCAAGGGGTGCGGTAAGTCATTCCTTGATACAGCACAGGAGCGGATTGACGAATATCGTTCGCAAATCAACGACATGAAAGAAAACAGCCATACAACACAGAAAGCAGTGAGTTCCAAAGTTCTCTATGTGCTGCTTGCATCAACTGACCGGGCAGGTCGAAACCCTCCTTGATCTCAAGCAGAAACAGGCTAATGTCGACGAAGCCAAAATGACACGATGGCAAGCTGAAGTCGCCCAAACGCAATCGCGAGCAGTAATGGTCTTCACCATATTCAGTGTTGTGTAAGTCTACATACTCTCGCTACAACAAAGTCAACAATAATCTCTGATAATCCAAGTTTCCTCCCTCTATCCTTCTTCACCTCTCTCTTTGGAATCAACGCGCGAGAATGGAGCGGCGAACAGACAAACCCAACTCTAGGAGAAATGTTCGTAATAGCAGGTCCGTTTCGTCCCAACCCCCATCAGTATCAAAAATAACATTCCCCAGCGCCGACATCCTTCGCAATCATATTCCTCTCCCTCTTCGCGGCATTCAGCAGTACGCTGCGCGATATAGCATCCAAAACGCACAAGATCGGCGCAGGCCTCCTGAAAGAATTCATCTTGCATCCGATTAAATTATTATTGTGGGATTCCGCAGCGAGTAAAATGCCTGCTCATGTTGTCCCTGAAGACTCTGGGCTTAGGAAACGCTTCGATGAGTACCTTGGTTATGGGAGGAGGAATATGCAGCGTGACGAGGATATCTGGCAACGGTGGCAGGGGGGCCGGATTTCTGGCGGGAAGGAGGTTAAGAAGGGGAAGTATGAGGTGAATTCTGGACTAAGTCGGAGAAGTCGTCGGGAGGTCTAGTTTGTATCTCCTTGCTTTTGGTTCTGTGTTTTTGGTGGCTTTTTGATACCCTGCATGTCGCATTTTATATCTTACACTTTTCACTTTGGAAGCCTGCATATGCTAGTACAGCACCATACTATTAATTTTGAACATGAACTGTAAGAGTCTAAATAGCCTGGGAAATTATATCACTCTGCTCTCAAATCTGGGTTTTAGTGCCACAGTATACTAGTGCGTTCAAAACAAGAAGGGAATTGTATTACGAATAGCCTTGGATCCGTCGGATATCCCCAGGACAGCTAACGTAGATTGGCCTTGGTCAAGTCGTCAGAAACTGGACAAACAGGACGGGCTTGAAAGTCTCTGGGCTCGTCCGTATAGGACAGGCCTCTTGCATCCGGCACGGATCAACGCAATAAATTGTGTCAATCATATATGTTTAGATACCCGCAATGATGGGCTTCAATAATGTAATGCCCATGCAATGCCCATCCGCCAGCAGAAGCTCTTTGAACTCAAATTTGCAATTCTTTTCCCTTGCACTATCTTCTGGAGCACAACATGTAGACATCTTCACTCGGCGTTGCTCAGGGATCTCTCAACCAAAGCTAACCCGGTTTGATAAGTATCCCTGCCCTTTGACTTTACCCTGTGACGCCTTGAATACTTCGCGGGTGCCGTCAGAGAGGAGGACGAAAGGTCCTCACGATCCACCCCTTCAGTCAACCTCACGCCCGCCCGATACGCGCCATAAGATTCAGGTGCTAATTGTACCAATTCCCTTTTCGCCATTCCCTTTTTTATCTCCTCTAGTGTCTCTCTGGTACTCAGATCAACCGTCTGTGGACGCGTGCGGTCTCGTCCAGAAGGCACTTCCTCAAAAGGGCTCGGCGTTTCAGGCTCATTGGCACTTACATGCACGCTTTGGCAATGTATCGACCTGTGCTCCACTGGACGTAGTATCTCCGTATCGTACACCTCTGCTGTCTCAGTGTAAGGATCGTATGCTATACCCTGTCTTTCTTGGTGTCTTCTGTGCGATTTCCTCGCCACTTGAGCGCTAGGTCGTCTGTACTCCTCGAACGCCACATGTCTTTTCACACCAGATCTTTCTGCGCTGGTTACATAATGCAGGTGATTTATTTCAACAGCGGAATGTCTGTCTGATACAGTTCTTGCTTTAGGAAGCGCAGGAGGAGAGGTAGCAGAGGTCTCGTCCAGTTCGGTGCTGAATTCATCTCGGGAATTTTCGTCTGCCATGTCAGACGATACTGAGTCCGCAGATGGAGGGTGACCGGTCGGTAGAGAGTGACGTGGCCGGCTATGGGGAGGAATAATAACATCGGGTTGTCGCTCAGCACGTTGGACCTGTCTTTTCTCCCGCCGCGATCCACGTCGATTACGTCCATAACTGCCAATTCGGTGAAGTGAAGTCTGTACCAGGGCTGACGGAGGCATCTTGGTTGTAAAAACTGCAGTTGGTGCCATGCCCGCCGGTGCAGGAGGCTTCGGACCTGACCGCGATTCAACGTCTGCCCGAGGGCTCCGAGCAGGACCCCAGTGAAGACGTGATAACCAAGATGATCCTCCCCGGTCTTCAACCGATATTTTGCCCACTATGTATGCAGCTATGATGAGAAGAATGAGTGCAACGAATGCCCAGAGAGGGAACCAGATTGCAGAAATTGTCCACGTTGTCATCCCAAATATGCCCTAAGAGAGAATTATTAGTGCTCGTGCCGTTCTCGCGTCGACTATACTCACAGTTACAAATGACAAAGGCAAAAAGGCAAAAGCGAGCAGATTGAGACGGGCGACTGCTTGTCCTTGTGCCACCGTTTCCGTGTTGAAGACCTGTTGTTTGATGGTCAGTTTTGGTTCTGTTTGTATTTAGCATTCGTACCAAGCTCATCAGACTCTTGAACTGCTCCAGAATAACCTCTGAAGTTGCCCAGTGATGATGAAGATCCTGAAGTAACTCGGCAGTTCTTTCGCTCAGCGCGACCTGGTAATCATCTGCCATCGGCATCGGCAACGACGGATACCGCTTCTTCTGGGCGTATTCCTGAAATCGCTCGGTGGACGATATATGAAGCCTGAGATTCTCGCGTAGTGTAATCACGTTCGATATAGCTCTGTGAAGCCTGCGGGTGAGTCGCAGTGTCGAGCTTCTCGAGGTCTCCCGATATGCCTGCGTGTTGCGCCAAGCCAGGTCGTGTCCTGCAACCCCCCAAACGTCGGACCAGTGACCGCATGCCTGGAGCAGGTCGATGTATAACCAGAGTGGGCACCGAAGGAGGCGATTCATTCTCCATGCGTTTTCTCCACCCCAATGATTCTCAAGAAGAGGCAGCATGGCGCTGTTGGCCATGTATAGGATGATCAAGGGCTCATCGGGACTTCGAGATTCATCCAATCTGGATGATGGAAGTATCAGTGCCGCCACTCCTTGAAAGCTGATGTTTTTGTCTTCAAAATCTAGAGCTGGCGCACGCGTGTTGGCGTGACCGGAATTTGTTGAGGGGTAATTGAGGAGAAACGTGAAGTCTACAACTTCTTAGTAAAATGTTCGCGCTGGACTGAACGTATGCATTACACATACTCCTTTCGTCATTATCGTGATATGGCATTGCAGCTGCACTTTGACCCTGGTTTTGGAGATTAACATAGTTGAACAAGCGTAAAGGTAGGCCGTCCATGCACGAATTAAGGGCCGCGAGGAGCCATGACTCCGCTGAGTCGGCACATATCGCACTGAATTATATTAGGAGGAACACTTATGTCAAAAGTCAGGATTGCGGCTGATTGTTACTTGCATGATGAGTACTCGACTGAGAGAAACGCAGCATCGCTGAAGGCTGTCTTTCAAGTAGGGTTTGAGGCCATGGAGCTGGTATTTTGTCACCTCTTTTGGCACAAACAATTTCGCCGACGATTCAGGGTTATTGGGGTCCGGTTTTCCTGAGTTCACATATACAGTCGCAAGCTGGGAGGCAAGTGCTGGTGGTGTCTTTAATTTCGCCATGAGGGAGGTTAAGGGAACTGAGTGGTATAAGCCAGAAGGCGCATGGAGGGGTTAAAGAGTCTTTCCAGCTAGCTGACTGACCTAAATGGATAGGAGATGTTTAGTGCTTACGACCCCCTGCCTTCAAGCTTACTCTTTTAGCGAGGCTGAATAGGCATGGGAATCGTGAGAGTTATGATAAGCATAATCTATGGTTCATTCAACTGTTCAACCTAGAAGAGCTTGATGGTCGCACGGCTGCCAATTACAACAGACCATGACGATTTATTCTAGGTGGACACACTATGAGGGCTCCAAGATAACGGTCTGCCACGGTATACTGTTGGACTGCCACGTCACTCGGGTCTGGCTACATAGACATGCAGTACAGGATGCAGCCACGGCACTCCAAGGAGAGGACCGCGAGCCTGGACCAAGCTAGCAGAACGCCAGGAAATTCCCCCATAATGAAGGCTCAGTTTGTCTTAAAATTTCCATTGTAGTTAGCTCCCTCTCGTCTCCATGGCCAATCCAAGTGGGGATACATCCTTGGTCTCATAGAAGTCAGGCTGACAAGTCTTTTTCAAATTCTAATGTACATATATCGATCGACCATAGGGTTCAGGGGCTGATGCAGGCTGGGGTCTGAAATCTTTTGCTCGAGTATCGGGTTTGCTCCATACAGTAGTCATCAAGGAATATTTGATAAAAATAGTGATGTGGTCGGATATATAACAGCGTTCTAAGGTCATGATTGCAGCTGACTCTGGCCCCCGGCTTGCCGTGTCCTCGTATACCGAAGGATACCAAATAAGCATGAACACAGCAGAAAAACACACATTCACCATAGACACCGTTAGACATGATTTTGATTTATTTCATCTCGCTTGCCAAGCAGCAAACCACCGTGAATAAACAGATCGCGATCACCTTGAAAGAAAATTGTTAACAGACTGCTCGACATGGGGTATTTCAAATCATAGAAATTCAAAAAATTTGCGCTTCCATCACCAAGTTTTGTGGTTTATAAGTAGCCTATAGACCCATGGATGTATGCTGATTGCGAGAATAAGGGGGCGGGTTCGGAGAAAATGGACTCGACTAGATAGCCATAAAAAAGGCTTAGACACAGTAAGCAGGTCTTGGACGGAAATTTAAAGGGACAGTCAATGGTAGGTTAACTGGCAATGGACTCGTTTCTCGGCACACTTTTATGCCATCTACCGGAGTGATCATCAGCCCTCAATAGCAGCCAGTGAGGCAAGGTTCATAGCGGAGCACTTCAAGATAGTCTGCATCATGCGACTAGAGTCCAATGGCTTAGACAAGTAATCGTCCATGCCGGCCTGTATGCACTTATCTCGATCCCCCAACATAGCATGCGCAGTGAGGGCAACAATAGGCGTACGAGGAAGCCCATTCACCTTCTCATATTGTCTGATATTCCCTGTGGCCTCGAAGCCACCCATAACGGGCATCTGGACGTCCATGAGGACCACATCGTAACGGTGGTGTTTGACCTCCTTCACGGCTTGGAGGCCATTTTCCACGACCGTGACGTTGTGATTGAATTTTTCAAGAATTCGGACGGCCACCTTCTGGTTCACATCGTTGTCCTCTGCTAGAAGAATTGCTAACGAGCGTGTGTATCCCGATGGGGTGCGGGTCGCGCGGTTGCCCAAGGCAGGAAGAATGCCGTTCCACAGATCAATTGGTCGACAGGGCACTGTGATATAGGATGCTATGCCGAGTTCACCGGCAGCCCTTAGCGCTAGTGATACGGTGAATGCTATAATCACTAGTGGAATGGGTTGGAGGTCCGGACAGGCTCGGAGCTTTGCGGCAATCTCCAAGTTTTCGATGAGGATTGCGTCAAACCCACAGCCCCAGTCACTTTTCAACTGGCCACATTCTAGCTGCTCCTCTTTGACAATGACGGGCTCTAATCCGAGCTCAATAAGCACCGAGGCTATTGCAAATCTACGCGCAAGACCGTGGTCGAAGAAGAGAACACGCCGGCCACGGTGGGGGACAAGCTGGTCTGCAAAGCTCGGTGGCGGCTGAGCCAGCTTCACTCGGCATGTAAATGAGAATGTGCTGCCTTCTCCCATGTTCGAGGTCACCCAGATGTCGCCGCCCATGAGAGAAACGAGCCTTTTAGAGATTGCGAGGCCCAAACCTGTTCCGCCAAAGCGACGAGTCATCGATCCGTCAGCTTGCTGAAACTTGTCAAAAATCAACCCAAGTTTGCTTTCGTCAATGCCGATCCCAGGGTCTGAGACTGACAACTGGAATGCCGTTTCATCTGAAGCGCACTTATCGTCCTGTGCATGCTTAACCGTGACTCTGATCTCGCCGTGGTCTGTGAACTTGATGGCATTGCCGACTAGATTTAACATGACCTGCCGTAGTCGATATGCGTCTCCGGTCAGGTAATCCGGTACCTCTCCATCTACTGTGTAGACTAGACCTAATGCCTTCTCATTGGTTTCCACAGAAAGGGCTTTCAGCACACTGAACACTGTTGCACCAAGACTGAAAGGCGTTTTTTCAATTATCATATGGTTAGCCTCGATCTTGGAGATGTCAAGGATGTCGTCAATGATAGTCAAGAGACTAATCGCAAGATTATGTACCATATTGAGAGTCTCTCTCACGGGAGCCTGGAGGTCGTCAGTGTCGAGTGCCAGGCTTGAGAGCCCAATTATCCCATTCATCGGGGTTCTGATCTCATGGCTATATTTCAGTTAGCACAAATCGAAAAATATAAACTATCAAGATGCGAAACCGAGTAAAGAATTAACATACCTCATGTTAGCCAAAAATTCAGACTTACTCCGATTTGCCAGTTCTGCTGCTTCTCGAGCAGCAGTATTGCGCTGGATGCTGTCGCGCAGACTCGAGATCATCTTATTGATTTTTTGTTTCAAATCATCCATTTCTCCAGAGGCAGACACAGTAATCAATTTTGTGAAATCACCACTCATCGCTGCCTCCGTGATCTCACCGAAGGCACGAACTTGAGAAGTGAGATTGTCCGCCATCGTGTTGACATCCTCACTGATTGATCTCCAAATTCCATGAGATCCCGCAACATTGGCCTGGCCGCCGAGTTTACCTCGGACACCCACGTCCCTCGCCACGCCTTTAACCTCCCCCGCAAATTCCCCCAGACCGTCCATCATGCTATTGATTGTTTCTTTGAGAGTCAAGATCTCACCCTGTGCGTGAACCTCGATCTTGGTGCTAAGATCGCCGCGCGCGATGGCCTGCGTCACGTTGGAGATTTGTCGGACTTGCAGAGTCAGGTTTTGGGCCATTGTATTGACGTTATCCGTCAAGTCGCGCCAGCGACCTTCCACATTCTCGACTTGCGCTTGTCCACCCAGCGTACCGTCGGTGCCCACTTCCCGTGCCACTCGGCTGACCTCGAACGCGAACTGATTCAGTCGATCGACCATCGCATTTATCGTAAGCTTAAGGTCCAAAATCTCGCCCTTCACGTCCGCAGTCACCTTCTTCGTGAGATCACCGCGTGCAACAGCGGTCGTCACATCGGCAATTTCGCGGACCTGCTGCGTAAGATTCGACGCCATGCGGTTGACGTTGTCCGTAAGATTCTTCCAGGTACCCTCAACCCCGTGCACAACAGCCTGGCCGCCGAGCACACCGTCTGACCCGACCTCGCGGGCAACACGACTAACCTCAAATGCAAATTCTCGTAGCTGGTCGACCATCGAGTTGATGATATTCTTCAACAGTAAGATCTCGCCCTTACAATTTGCCTGCACCTTGCGCTGCAAATCACCCTTGGCAACCGCGGTCGTTACGGTGGTGATATCGCGGACCTGTGTGGTCAGATTGTTGGCCATGGCATTCACGTTGACGGTCAATTCATGCCAAATTCCCTGGATGCCCTCGATCTTCGCCTGGCCACCCAATACACCCTCCGTGCCAACTTCCCGGGCTACCTTTGACACCTCTTGACTGAAAACCTGCAACTGATCCATCATGGTATTGATTGTCTGCTTGAAGGTAGCGATGTCAGGTGACATCTCGAGGGGGTGCATGCGGGCCCGCTGTGATAGATCGCCACGGGCAACCTGGGTAATGATCTCGCCGATCTCCCGCAGTTCTTTCTGGAATGCCTCATTGATGTGGGTTTGTTTGCGGAGTTCCTTCTGAAGGCTTGAGCGTTCATGTTCAATTTCCGCGATGGAAGAATTCGACTCGCGGCGGTAAATAAGTTCATCCACAATGAGAGAGATGAATTCGCGAGGAACTGAGACTTCTGGGCTTTGCTGATGCTGGAGAGCTGCTCGTGCTTGCATGAGATCTGCATCGCTAACTAGGGCTGGACGAGCGGTATCCACCATGGCAGCCATTGTCGGCAGAGATCAGTATCTATTTTGGATTCAAATTGGCTCAAGGCTTTCTAGGGCACGCAGCGACTCTAGAAGCAAGTTGGCAACAGATTAGAATCTCACAAGGTCATGATCATACCTATGTTGACAGGTGATGGAGGTGCCAACACGATTTGTTCCCCTCGAGCGCTATATGCATTCCCGATAGGCGAAGTATTCCACGACAATAACGAAATTCAGATTGAGAGAGCGATACCAAGTCAGGAGCAAAAATGCACGAAAATGCAGGACCGGAATGCCGGAATGATCTGGTGACACGAAAGGGAAAGGCACCAGGTGGAGGGAAATAAGCGGCGTGAAGGGCCCTAGAGAGAAGAGAGAAGAGAAGAGAGGAAGAAAAGAGGAAGTAAAGAAGTACAGACGGTGATTTGCCGTTCCCACCCGCTTATATAGGCTTGGTTTGACTGTTAAAATAAGTTACTATATTGTTTATGCCTGTCAACCCTTATCGTTGGATATATCATTCCCAAATTATGCCCGTCTGAAGTTGTATTTGCCCTCACCTGGGCAGTCTAGACCCTTCTTGGTCTATGGCATCTAGAAACTGCACAAAACAGCCGACCCGAGTAGCCAATCAGTTGCATTGCTAACGTACGTGATATGCAATGTTTCACACCTTCTGCCGAGACCATCAAAAGCTTCAATCTATCGAGTCCTTTTGTACATTTGAACTCTATAAGGGGACATTGTCGATCCCCAGCTAAAGTACGTGGAGACCAGGACTTAGCCCAGACAATCTAAAAGTCATAAGGAAACACACAGTCCAGTAGGCTGTATCAAATGGGACTTTATTGGAATACATGATATAGTACAGTGGAACCTTTTTTTGTCAAGCCCCAGGAGGAGAGGGGAGAGAGAGAGTCGGAGATCAGAACAAGTCCAAAAGAATACAGGTATGGAAAGAAACATAAAAAAAAGATAAACACCAAATAGACACACAAAGAAAAGACATTACACAAATATCCAAGTATCAGAACAGGCTACGATGCAAAGAAGAGCGCTCGAGGTAATTCTTCAGGGGAGGATGGTTAGGGGCTTTAGAACATGCCGCCTCCCATGCCGCCCATACCGCCCATGCCGCCCATGCCGCCACCAGGAGGGGCAGGGCCCTTCTCCTCAGGAGCGTCGACAATGGCGACCTCGGTAGTACCGAGAAGGGAGGCGACACCGCTGGCATCAACAAGAGCGGTGCGGACAACCTTCAGGGGGTCGACGATACCGGCGGCAATCATGTCAACGTATTGGCTGCTGGCACTGTCGTATCCGCGGTTGAAGTCCTTGGCGTACTCGTCGGTCAACTTGCCGACAATGACGGAGCCCTCGAGTCCGGCGTTCTCAACAATGGTGCGGGCAGGGCGGCAAATGGCGCTCTTGACAATGCTGACACCGAGCTGCTGATCGAAGTTGCCGGGCTTGACACCAGCAAGTCCGTTGGCGGAGGCCTTGAGCAGAGCGGTACCACCACCGGGGAGGATACCCTCCTCAACAGCAGCGCGGGTGGCGTTAAGGGCATCCACAACACGGTCCTTCTTCTCACCGACCTCAACCTCGGAGGCACCGCCAACCTTGATGACGGCGACACCACCTGAGAGCTTGGCGAGACGCTCCTGCAGCTTCTCCTTCTCGTACTCGGAGGTGGTGGGGTCGGCCATGACACCGCGGATCTGCTCGCAGCGCTGGGAGATGTTGTCCTTGCTGCCCTCACCGTTGAGGATAATGGTGTCCTCCTTGGTGATGGTGATGGCACCGGTGGAGCCGAGCATCTCGGGGGTGAGCTTCTCAAGCTTGATGTCGAGCTCGTCGGTGAAGACAGTACCGTTGGTAAGGACAGCGAGATCACCGAGGATGCTCTTGCGGTTGTCACCGAAGCCGGGGGCCTTGACGGCGGCGACCTGGAGCTGACCACGGAGCTTGTTAAGAATGCAGACGGCGAGAGCCTCTCCCTCAATGTCCTCAGCAATGATGACCAGAGGGCGGCGGAGGGTGGTAGATGCCTCAAGGGCGGGGAGAATATCTTGGACGGCGGAGATCTTCTTCTCGGAGAGCAGGATCAGGGGCTTCTCGAACTCGACCTTCTGGGACTTCGGGTCGGTGATGAAGTACGGGGAGGTGTAGCCACGGTCGAAGCGCATACCCTCGGTGACCTCGAGCTCATCCTCGAGGGTCTTACCCTCCTTCACGGTGATAACACCCTCCTTGCCAACACGCTCCATGGCGGTGGAGATAAGCTTGCCGACGTGGGTGTCACCATTGGCGGAGATGGTGGCTACCTGGGCGATCTCCTCGCCGGTGGTGATAGGGCGGGAGTTAGCCTGGAGGTATTCAACAGCGGCCTCAACGGCAGCCTGGATACCGCGGCGCAGATCCATAGGGTTGCAGCCAGCGGCAACATTCTTGACGGTCTCGGAGAAGATGGCGCGTGAGAGGACAGTGGCGGTAGTGGTACCGTCACCAGCGACCTCGTTGGTCTTGGAGGCAACATCCTGGATGAGGCGGGCACCGAGGTTCTCGAACTTGTCCTGAAGCTGGATGGCCTTGGCGACACTTACACCGTCTGGGGAATGATTAGTCTTTCGCCAATGACGATGTGTTTGTCTTGATGGAAATCTTACCCTTGGTGATCTTGGGGGAGCCGTAGGGGGAGTCGATCAGGACATTGCGACCCTTGGGACCGAGTGTGGAAGTGACAGCCTTAGCGAGAGTGTCAACACCCTTGAGAAGGCTGGCACGGGCTTCAACGCCAAACTTGATCTCCTAGTTGCTGTTAGCAAGGGGAACGACCGAGTGCTTCGGAATGGACGGAACACGAGGCCAATGACAGAGCAAGACGGCGCTGTGGGTAATTGCAAATTCAACGCACCTTGTGAGCAAAACGCTGCTGCTGGAGGTTCAAAGTCGAGCGAGAGAAAGGGGTACGCTTTGAAGCGGCCGACAGGGCGGAGGTCCTGGTGGAGAGAGCGCGCTGCATGGCTAGGAACAACGAGATTAAAATAAATTAAAAGAAGAGAGAAATACAACCCAGGAGAAATAAGGGGTTTGAAGAGGGGGAAAAGGAAGAGATGGAGAAAGCCGGGGGAGAGATGAAGCCAAAGTCTCGAAAATTTTCCAGGCGCTTCCTTCATCCCCAGAGCTTGGCGGCAGAAACAGCTAGAATCATCACGTGAGCCGGAAGAACGGACCTGAATCGGCTGCCGAATATCGTAGATATGATTGTATTATTGTATTATAGCCTATTATTATATTCAGAATGTGTTGCAATATGTAGTTTGAATGCTTTAATCTATATTTAAAGGTTGAGAAGTAAAAGTATTCCTGTTGTTATACATGTAGCAAGCTGAGATGGTCAAATGTATACCTCGGGAAGCTTCATATATACCTGTAGTTATTTAGTCTAGCTTTCGGCAACCTTACCCCTATATATTTGAGAATGCGCGACTTCACTTTCCTTATCGGTTTTGTCCCTTGTCTCTATATACATATATATGTATCATTGACGCTTTTGACTGTATCTGCATCTTCAATTGGTCATGAATCCAAACTCACAGCCTCGTATCAATAACCCGCTGCTCAGACTAAGATTGCTGCAAGATATATGCGCAAGCCCGCATACTAACGTCGGCACTACGCGCTCCCTCTAATAGCTCTTATAATCAAAGATCAATCCAGGGATATTGCCATAGGTCTCATGTCACTTTATTCTGACCTCCCGATTGGCTTAGAATGAATTAGCAACCTACGAGATACTTAAAAAGAGATAGTGCGAATATGCTCTTATTGTAACTAACTACCGGGGCCCCCGTAGGGAGCCAACGAGCAACGCATGAAAGAAGCGCTGGGGTGCAACTCCGGATAATGCGTGACTCCATGCCACGCAAGAATGATTATCCGGAGTTGCACCCGTTGGTTGGGATCTGAGGCTCACCCCTCTCGCCCGGCCAACTTAGCGGGAAAAGCAAAGAAAAAAGAAAACGCAAACGCAAACGCAAACGCAAAGCAAAGCAAAGAGCAGATAAAAGTCAAAGAAAGGAGAAAAGCAAAAAAAGTAAAGGAAAGCATTGGGGGAAGTGATTGAAGCATCAATGGACCTCGTGAACCGGGCACCATGACGAATGACCCAGGAAATTAAAATTCCTTGGTCTCCTCACCATCGTAACCAAAGTAGCGAGGAGGCTCTACGTCCGGAAGGTTCGCAAACATTTCACTATCGGAAATGAAGTGGTTTTCGAAACCATTGGTGTCGGAGTAGCTGGTCATCGGCAGGATGCCTTGGCCGCTATACTGGTCCACAAATTGCACTTCGGGGGCAATGTCAAACTGCGAATACGCTGCTGTATGATTCATTCCATCAAAACCAGAGTCTCCACCAGAGACCGAGATAGGAGCCGCACCAGGACCAGCGTCAGAGATTCCACTAGGGAACCGGTTGACAATGTCAAATGGGCTTGGGCCACTGGATGGGAAAGGGATGCTAACCCCAGAGTCGTTTGAAAAAGGGACCACTGAGTTGGAATGCATGTACGGGTAGTAAGATGGGTGACGGGATGGCATGTTGGTGATAACGCGCGACTGGTTGGTTGGGGTGACAGGCTCGCGGAAAGTTGCAGAGGTGTCAAGGTAGCGGTCAACACTTGCCAGGCGCTCTCGGCCTACCTTGAGTGTCACCATCTTTGACTTCTTGGCCGCTTGAGTAGTAGCCTGGCTGCTTTCAGTTGAGTTCTCGTTCTCAGAACTAGCCGATTCGTTGTCAACTTCACGGTCATCGCCACCGGCGAAGTCATGTAGCCATTCCGCTCCAACACACACCAGCTTCTGTGATTCACCGCTGTCGGTTTCCTCGCGCTTTGCACGCAGCTTGGGAGCAGCGAAGACCCTGTCCTTCTTATTGTTCTTCGAAAACTGCTTCTTCTTCAGAGTGTACACATCGTCCTCAGAGTCATCGGATTGGTCAAGGCGACGGCGCTTTCCGCTGCGAGTGATCGGTGCAGTGTCCTCCTTTGGAGAAGGCAACGCATCCTTCTTTTTGCTTGTGTCGCTCTTGTGATTTCCATTAGCTGCACGCTTCAGCGGAGGCGGGTTTGGCTTATCCTGCTCCTCCCGCTTGGTACGCAGCTTGGACAAGTGTTGAACGATTGCCCCTTCCGTGAACTTCTCTCCCATAACTTCTGCGACATCCTTCCAAGGGATCTTGACGCTGAGCTTATTGCAGATGTACTGTATGGCCAGCAAAAGCCGAATGTCGGTATCCACTATTTCAGTCGAATGTCAGCATGATTCAATGAAAGATTCTCCACGTGAATGTAAGTCCGTGCAACAGCAGTCTCTCTGTCCATGAATGTCTCCAGATTTGACAACAACCCCGATGAACTCTCTAGACAGAAAGATGAAACAAGATTGGAGATCATAAAAAAGGAAGAGTTACCATCCCAGCGAACCAATGTCCGTTGCCGCCGGCTGCTGACTTGGCGCTTGCTCTGGTTCTCTTGCTCCTTGCGGGCCTCTTCAGCCTCTAACGCCTTGCTCTGTTCGGCGACTTGCTTCCGGAGCCTTTCGAGCTCTGCGAGATCCGCCTCATTGTCGCGCTTTCGGCTGCCGGCTTTCTTCTTCGTCGGCATGTTGGATGTACAATTCCTTTATATCCTTCTGCACGATATCATCATTAGCATTTGTGCTAATAAAAACAAGATAAGTATGGAGTATATCGACGGGACGTGAGGCAGGTGACTAGGAATGATCAATGCATTGCTGCATTTCTGCAAAAACCCTCAAGCAAGGTGGCATGGGATCTTGAGGGGATGCATGACAACAAATGACCGTGATGGACTAAGCCTAAGGAACGCAATTTTCTCGGCGTGGAATGGGATGGAAGTATGCATTTGGCTGGGGTACGATACCATGTGCAGCCCAAGCAAGCAAAGTATGTTAAGACGAATACGCAGAGTGATGAGGCTAATCATGACTGCAGGGTCTTAGGGCATGGCCCAAAGAATCTGTGGGCAGAGTGCCGATACTCGCAGCAATTGGTCTCCGATATCCCACCGTGCAATGTCAACATCCTCTAGTGTTGGGAAAGGCATGGGACCAATGATCGTCTGATGCAATGGTCTCACATTGTGGATCAATACCAGCAAGTCCCAGCGACAACTTGTACTAGGAATGACGGTGCACACAATATATCCAATTGCGAATTGCAAAATTCTCAACGTCTTGGTCCTGTGCCACAGGTGCCCAGAGGCCATGCAATTGTGATGGACTTGCAGATGTTGGACGCTGACGTGTACGACCCAATCATCAACAAGGTCAATGGGTGCTACAGCAACCCAATCCCCTTAGGATTGGATGGCAGTGGGAGCTCCCAACGATCACAGTGTGCCACACAACCTCGTGCTGATGATGCACAGGTGCCAGAGCTATCTGGTGGGCAGTGGGGATGTGCCAGGGGAAACTTATGGTCGATCTGCAGCACAAAGCTGAGTCACTCACCTGGTGGATATGATAAAAAGCAACTGTCGACTCGAGATGCTTTGGTATCAAAGCAGAGGAAGGTTGGGAACGTCGAGGACGATGAAAGATGGATGGAGGAGGGTGGGATTGAAAGCTAAGTGAGAGATGTGAAGACTGAAAGAAGTGGTGGGGAATGGCAAATACCTTTGAGCCACAACTGCCTTGGAATACTGTTGCGGTGTTGCCTTCGGGGTGCTTGTTTGGCACTTGGTCTCGAGGTCAACCACGCGTATTGTGTGCAGGCAGTCGATTCAATTGAAGCGCGCCGTACCCCGCACCAAAAGGAGGCAGATTGAATCTTTACTTATGCACAGCCTGCTTCTTGGAGTCTCCATTTCTATTTACATATGTTGATACATCATCTGATCTATAACTTCGAGGCAGCTGAACACGTATTGGGGTTGCGAAACCTGAATTTGATACGGCGAAGGTACGTATTTGCTGCTCTTGTCATGAACGATCTATATAACTTCGCGGCAACGCTTCTACACCTCACCAGCCTCGAAAAAGAAATGAAAAGCACGGAATGCAATTATTGATGATCCAACGGCATACAGCACTTGGAATTTTATCCATTTGACGTGGTGGGGCCGGAGAACAGAGTGTGTCGCATTGTATAGTGTTCTTGTATAAGAGTGCTGTCAAAATACGTGACGAACGATCTATATAACTTCGCGGCAAAGTTTGTACTCCCCACCAACATCGAGAAAATAAATAAAAATCACGGAATGCAATTATTAATGATCCAATGGCATATAACGATTATAATTTTATCCATTGAAAGTTGTGAGGCTTGAGACTATAGTGTGTCGCGTTGTGTAGTGTTCCTCGTACCAGGCATGTTGTCAGGATAACCGCAGTCACGGGAAGACAAGCGCTGTAGCCGCTTATCAATCTATATCGGGTTAACCTTCTCCCGGTCTCTGTTTCAGAATCACGTGCTTTCTAGGCGAGCAAATCTTCACCGCTGTGTTAGTCACCGCCTTCCCAAGCTAGACTCCTCCCCACGTGATCTTGTCATCCCGATCCTCCGAAGTCGAACGCTTCCAAACTCACCCGAACCGTTTTCACCCCTTCAATCGAACCATACCTCCCACATTCTCCTCAAAATGACTGCCGCCTGGAAAGCCGCCGGTTTGACGTACGCATACATGAGTCATCTTTAAATTCAATGCTAACCCCGACCCCAGCTACAACCGCTACCTGGCCATCGCCGCCCGCACGGTGCGCCGCTCCTTGAAGGAAGGCCCTCGCCTCGCATCTGAGCGCCGCGGCCAGATGGACCTCCGATTCGCCAAGTGGGAGGTTAGTGGATTTCCCGAGCTCCGTGCTGCAGAATTTTGACTGATGACAATGTTACGACGGACAGAACGGCAAGCAGGGTGAAGTCAAGTCTCTCGCCCAGGCCAACAACGAGGCCCTCGCCAAGGCCGCTGAGAAATAAGCCTTATTCACCCGCGACCTGAGAGAATCGAGCTTGGAGATATGCAACGCCTGAGTGCGACGGACTTGAGCGAGTTTTTAGTCCGGGGAAGGCATTGAAATGTACATGTGTAGCAATACCGGCCTGTCTGGTTGGGCAGAGCTTAGAAATCGCACTCGTCTTTGTTTTCACACTACACATAGGCTGTTAATTGAAACTGCCGTAAGAATTCATATACTGCCCGAACGTAGCCGGGCAGATGTTGCACGTCACCTCTAGGACCCGGTTGTCAACTTCCCGACTCGCTTTTTCCTCCGCTCACCTCCCCACCTCCCCCTCGATTTACGATTTCTCAAACCCCGTCCGACGACACGATACTTGTTTGAACTCCCGTAATATAACCGCCGCTGAGGGAAGAACTCGGGATTTTAATGATGCTGCCGAATAATGAAGTTCGCGTTCCCCGTCCGCGGTTCGTTGCGCAGTCGGCACCCCGCGACATTACCGCTGAATTTACAAAAGCCGCTTCCAGTACGCATATTCCCCCGGCAGCTTCGATCCACTGTCTAATTATTTGTACTTGTAGAGCTAAATTCAGGACAGCTCGTGAAAGATGAGACGTTCACCCTGTTCGAAGCCGTGGGCGCATTGGAGGTGCGTCATCTTTCTCACCGGATGTGAAACGTGCAACAAGAATTCCAGCTAACGACGAAACCCGCACAGATTATGGACTCGAAGATGGATAGCGGCTACGTAGCCCCCGGCGAAAATCTTGCGCAGGCGCTGGAAGACGACTACGACGTACGGCGGCCGTTGACACCAGAGGAAGTTGTCGGCTTGATGGACCAGTTGCTGTGCCACGAGGTGGGAGATGAACTCGCCATGCGAAGACACACAGGTTGCTGATTTAATTGCAGGTGGCGTGGCATAAGGGACATCCTCTATCGCAGACGCTATTCACGTCGATCTATCTCGATAAATTATTGTGGCCGGTGCCGAGAACCATGGACGACGCTCGATTCGACCGTGTACCAAGTGATTCTCCTTTAATCAACCTCGTCTTGAGAGCCTATTGTCTTGCATTGGTCAAAGCTTGTGATTTTGTGCACGTTCGAGTGGCCACTGAATACTATTATGAGGTTAGTGGGCTGGCTCGTGAATTAGTTTTTATGACCGTCGCTAATGCCATCCGGCAACTAGGAAGAGGATTTTGTCAGTCAATTATACAACCGCAATCTTCTGTCTGCCTTTGACATATCCCACTTTCACCGTCTGCTGGACCAGGCGGTTGCTTGGGTTGCGGAGCAAACCAATATTGACCAGAAGCTCAAAGATGCCATCCGTTGCAGACTAGTGTTTCGGCATGAGTTTTTGTCCGCACTACATCAAGACATTGAAGTACTTGAAACAAGATCTGCGGAAAATTTCGCCTCATGTATAACTCAACTTCAACCTCTGTCAGAGACAGTCGCACTGGGAAAGCCGGTGCCAGATGCCTTCAGCTTGAAGATTCAGCGGAAGCTTGCTAGTACAGTGCCGCCTCGTCCCATGGTTAATATTACCTCCGATGATGCGCTCGCACATCTGAAACGACTGTGCCAGGATGCGATAGACATGCAGCAGATGCTTGATTACACCGGTCCCAGCAATTTCAAGGTATGTACTCTTGAACTTGAGTCTAGTTTTGGTTTTAACTTGTACTGCAGAATGCTGTATGGACTTTGCTTTCTCGAAAACCACAACCGTCAATTTATATTCGTTGTCTTCTTCAAGCATTGATTGTCAGTAACATGACGATCCTTGGTGTCGTACCAGTGAAGGAGTTTTTACACGACGAACTCGCGGAGCTTGTCTTACCTGCCAATATTTTGCTCGAGGCCAACACCGATGAAGTAGAAGTGCCGTCCGATCCTCGGTTCCAGATTGCCCAGAAGATGGATGGTTTCATGAAGCGATTCGCCCAGGTTAGTAAACATATTGACCAAGGCGTGTCCCATCTGCTAACTATTACAGCCGTTTGTCGATACTGTGCGATGTGCCTGTCTCAACAGGTGTCGTATGCGCCGAACACTCTGCCATACCCTCGTTGATTGGGACAATCTGCAGATGGAGGTCAGTCTTGCCCCGTGTTCCGTTGTTGTTTGAGTGTCAATACTGATTCGACGCAGGCAGAAGAACTTGATCTCGAGCTCCGCACTTTGAGTGCGGAACCCCCTTTGCAGTTCCAAGGCGGCGAACCGACCTGGTCTTTCCCGCTTAGTAGCTGGGCCTATCATCAGAAGCTCGTCCAGTTCCGACTCATTCTCCAAATGGGCTTTGAGTTGTCCATCTACTCACCGGAAGAGTTACCGGGCATGTACTGGTATTTGTCTCATATTTGCTCTACACATCTCGGCCATATTGATCGCATTCGCACGTTTACTGTGGCTGCACGAAAACGCGACTTGATGTCTCCTGGCGACCGCTCTGGAAGCTCCTCTCAAAAAGCATCCGCGTTCCACCGATCCTTCCACGCCCTGGAGAGGTTGACCACACACATCATTGCGGTGGATGCCTTTGCGATTGCTCTACATGCGTTGTATGTTGTACTGGCCCGACACAACGTGCTTCCGTCTGCCTCGTCTCCCCAGGCATATTCCACTGACCGACTCCGCTACGAAATCCGCATGAAGCCGTTTATCCCTATAACATTGCCGGAGTTGGTCCCATATGACGAATACCAGCGCGAGGCAGCTCTCGAAGGTGATTCTGACGCTACCATTATAGAGCGTGCCTCGAAAGCCATTACCGAAGCGCGCAAGGCATGGGAGGCGACCCTTGCCAATGGGGCATTCATTGATGACCCGTCCGCACCGACCCAACCGCCACCTTCGGCCATTGAAGAGGATTGGAAGCGTGACGTAAAGAACACCATGCGTGCCTGCATTGGAACTAGTCTTGCGGTCGAGGCGGTAAAGAAGGCTCTCTCTACGGCATCTTCTATAGAAAATAAGAGTCTCAACTTGGAGGTGATTGTTCCTGAGGTTGGGTCTAAATCACGTTGGCATGATTGGTGGGTGGTACCGCAGGTTTTTGAGAAGTCCAAGACGTGAAAAATATGTTATTTTCTGACCCAGAGGCATACATATGTCTGAGTTCCTTAACTATTGATGTATGGTTGATACCTTCTATTCGTTATAGAAATGACCATGACTTTATATGACCGGGGGGGTTCCTCTATATATACATATAGACCATATAGAATCAACGGGATAGATCTTAGCAGTAGTCCTATCACATCATCAACTAGATCAAGGTATCATTCAACCAGCCTAAAACCTAATCCATCCGGGCTTGAAGCTAAGCAGCTTACAGCTGGACTCTTCAGCCGGCTAAACTTCACCGAATGAAGACAAGAAAGTTGAAGAATTCACACGCACAAATGCGAGGAAATTCATCACAGCTATAATGGGCATTGCATGGCTCAGCCGAGGCTAATGTACATATATATATTAATCTTCAAGTAACTCATACCAAGTATATAAAAAAAAAATCCAATCAACCAAACCAAATCAGCCCCGGAGGGCGCCTGTCCATCCGTAAACGGCAACATTCTCCTGGTTATGAAATCATCTGCCTCCACCAGAGCAAGGCTGGGCAACTTCACAATCTACCACTCCAGGGCTTTTCCACACT